AAGTGATTTGAACTATGTTGTCAATACGCCCGACAGAAGAAAGAAACAGACAGTGTATCATGTTAACTCACTGAAAAAATATTATGATAATTGTAACAATTTTCATTCCACAGCTAAAATTACTTTACCTGTATGTTCAAATGTTTCTGATGATGTGATACATGATAAATTGAAACCCCCAAAATTGGTAAATTCTTCCTTTTTAGATAATTTGAATGTCCACCTTATGCATTTGTCCACAGAGGAAAGCCATAGATTATCTCAGTTATTTGAGACATTTCCCTCTATCTTTGGGGATGTCCCCAAAGAAGCGAAGGTTCCACCTCATGATGTAGACGTTGGTGACGCAAAACCCATTAAACAACACCCCTATAGAGTTAACCCGGAAAAAGCTGCTTTGATAAAAGATGAAATTGATTATATGCTCAAGAATGATATCATTGAGCCCAGTTTCAGCAACTGGAGTTCCCCATGTCTCCTAGTACCGAAAGACGGTGGATCTTTCAGGTTTGTGACCGACTTTAGGAAGGTGAATGCGCTCACCAAAGCTGATTCCTATCCATTACCTCGGATAGAAGACGTTATTGATAAAGTTGGTCAGGCTAAGATAATTTCCAAAATTGATTTACTTTCAGGATACTGGCAAATCCCCTTATCTGACCGTGCAAAAGAAATATCTGCTTTTGTAACCCCTAATGGTTTTTATAGATACAAACGTATGCCCTTTGGTATGCGAAATGCTGGTCAAACTTTCCAGAGAGTCATTAACTCTGTCATTGCTGACATAGACCAATGTGAGGCCTACATAGATGATATAGTTGTATTTTCTAATACTTTTGAAGAACATATTGTTCAATTGACTAACCTTTTTAGAAAATTGTCTGAAGTTAATTTTACTGTAAACTTACATAAAAGTGATTTCTGTAAAGCTTCAATTACCTATTTGGGTTATCAAGTGGGAACGAACCAAGTTCGGCCCATTGAAGCTAAAGTAGATGCTATTGTAAGGTTACCACCTCCCAAAAATTGTAAAGAGATCAAAAAGTTCCTTGGGATGGCTGGTTACTATAGGAGGTTCTGTCAAAACTTTTCAGCTGTTGCTGAACCTCTTACTGCATTATTGAAAAAGGGTGTTGAATTTGAATGGTCAGATAAATGTCAAGAAGCTTTTTTAACCATTAAGTCATTTCTATCTAATGCTCCTGTTATGGCTGCACCAAATTTTAGCAAGCCCTTTAAACTTGCCATTGATGCTAGCAACTTAGCCATTGGCTCAGTCCTCTTTCAAGAAGACAACATGGGAATTGACCATCCCATTGCCTTTTTTTCCAGGAAGTTAAATGAGAACCAAAAGAATTATTCTACTATTGAAAAAGAAGCTTTAGCTTTGGTTTTGTCATTATAACATTTTGAAGTCTATGTCTCTTCTTCAACCAATCCAGTCAGAGTGTTTTCTGACCATGATCCCCTGAAATTTACCTCTAAGTTAGGACAGACAAATCAAAGAATATTGAGATGGTGCTTATATTTCCAAAATTTTAATCTGGAAATTTCACACATTAAGGGTAGTAATAATGTTGTGGCTGATTGTTTGTCAAGGATGTAAAATCTTGTTACACACATTGATCATGTGACATGCTTTGTGGTTCATTAGGACCATAAACAGGTTTTGTTTGAGTGTCACTCATATGAAAATGAGTGGTGTGAGTTTTGAATTTTTTTCAAAATTCCAATCCTGTTGAATATTTTGTTTATTTTCAGGTGAACCTTAATTAAAGGTGGTTTTTGATTATATGTAATCTTTTATAATAAAATGTCTCATATGACTCAATTGATATTGTAGCTAGTCATTGAAATAAAGGTCTTACCCTGGCGGGTTTACCACTTTTAATATCCTCATGGAAATATTGTAATACCCTTTTTTGAGGGATTTTGATGTATAATTACCTTTTGAAGGGTTACTCCCCTTTCACCAATTGTAAAAGTTGGAGTTACTTCCCTTTTATGTTCAGGGATATTTTCATATGGTATTGTGATTTTGATTGACTACATTTGTAAAACATTTTTTTTTATTCTCATTGCCAGATTGGTTCCTTATGTATGTTTTTGTGGAACCTATCTGTCACTTCCAAAAAGGGAGGGGATGTGACCTACTTAGGTCGAGTCATTTTTATTTTGACATTGTATAATTCCTTATATGGAATGATGGTGTAACACCTGGGGTTTTTCCACTGACTTATTAAGGTGTTTGAGACATAGAAATTTTCCATTAAAATCTGATTGAATGATTCTGATCAGATGATTATCCCAACCAATGGCGACATGAGTTGAGGATAACCTCCCCTGTCACAGAAGTCTTTAATTGCACTGCACACGCGCAACACGAGGCAGTTTATCTTGACCTGGCAGTCTACGAGGCAGTTTATCTTGATCAGGCAGCCGTCCATATTGTCCGGCTATAGACTCTGACCATTTGAACGTGAGAGTACTTAAGACCTGTGTGTGCCTTGCTTTCTTAAGTGATTTAGTCTTCTAGTTTAATATTACTTGTCGCTAAGTAATTCCTGAAGCTACAACAGTGTTGTGTGGCCTGTGGCTATTATTAGACAGTGTAGAAATCTGTGATAGTGTTTTTTCTTACATTGTGTAAGTTGGGTTTTTGATATTTTATACATTAAATATTTTATTTAGTACAACCTTGTGTTCTGCCACTTCTGTGTTCGCTGATTAAAGGTTATATGTAGATTGGATGAGTGTTAATTACAATAGTATCACTAGCTTCCCTAGACATTGAATTCGAGCCCTAGTGTGTCGTTGTGTTAAGGTTCATCCACCTAGGCCGTAAGGTATTTACATATGACCCCGAAAAAAGAATCCGGGGACGTTCTCCTTCTATTTGGCTGATAGATAGGTTAACGTTACAACCGCTAGACCACACCGTCCCTAAGACATTAGGCCTAAAGAATATAAAATATAATATATATTTTATATAAATAATAAAGTCAAATGTAATAATTTGTTTAATGTTTTTGGCTTGCAGCGGATTTGCGACCATTAATTAATTAGATCTACTCTAGATCTAGCTATATGCTAGGCCAAGTAAAAATAATTACGAAAATAGTAAAAATGATTACAAAAATAGTAAAAATGATTACAAAAATAGTAAAAGTGATCAGAAACAGGGTTCGTACTCTATTTTGAAAATGAAACCAGACCTTTGTAACCACACCATTATTTGTGCTTATAGCTGAGAAATTTTTGTCTGCTATTAAAAACTACCAGAATTCCCCCCCCCCCCCCCACACACACACTCAACAGGGTGGGTGGGGTCACAGTAGTCCAGTCTATAATATTTCATAGCATGAACTGTACCATAACTTTTATTCCCCCTCTCCCCCCCTCCTCCCCAGCCAAACAGCACCAACCAGTACTTGGTGTCACTGTGAGTTCATAACACATTTACACGGTCAGTCACACAACAACAACAAAAAAGACACATCTAACACACTTCTCTCCCCCCCCCCCCAATGACGTAACTGAAAAAAATCGGGTTTCTTCTGTGATCCAGCGAAAAACGTCATACCACAGTGTAAACCCGTCCAGTTTTTTTTTAAAGTCTGAAATTCACTTTTCTAAATTCAACACTTTTTCCAGACTGCCTACGAACCCTGTTAAACAATGTTTAGTAGCAGAAATATTTAGCTGAAACATTTAAAAATAACTAGCAAACTAACACTACAAAATGATCAGTAAAGCAGTATTGAGCACGCAAATAAAATTAATATAGCCAAATTTTAAACATTCTGTATTTAAAATAATAGAAAACACCAAATAAAGTATGGTTTACAGTACTTCCGGTGGATTCCGGAACTGTGTGACAGACTTTGCCATTGTTTTACTGTTTTTTACTGCTATACCATTCCAGAATAATAACCGACGCTAAAGTAAGGTTTTACCAGATCTAGAATTCTAGTTTTAAAGTTATTTTTAATCCACTCATTCATTAAACTTTAGTTAGGCCTAAACAGTTTCCTAATTTAACCTATTCCATTATTGCAAAGTAGACCTTTTGTGCTATTAACTATCGTTATAGGGTAGGTCTTGATATGCACATAAAGTAGTGGATGAACATACATAATTTTATTTTTAAAACATGTTGTTGCGACCACCTCAGATTTGACCTAAGCAAAGCTGAAAGGTGGGTAAGCAGCTATGCCCATGTTTTAACCTGTGAGTCGCCAGCGAGTGATCGGGGCTGTTGGGCAAAGCAAGTGGCTAGCTGGGATTAATGGTGGGAACATGCTTGTCAACTAATCAGGGTGACAGAAGGAAACTGCTCAGCTCAGATCTCTTTGTGCCAGTCAATTAATTAAGATTTGACACTTGTGGCGGTGCATAATCCATTAATCGTTCCTGACCTGGAGTTTTGGTACTCTGCTACAAAAGGAGGGTTTATTGAAAATAGGAACAGTGCAGGGTTAGACGACGATGGAACGGGATGTATCTTATGAGTGGTAGAGCCCAAAGGGACGTTTGGTTACTTTCCCTAATGTACATCAGGTGCCCATATGACTCTTACTTCAGCCTGCTTTTATATCGACTGGATGTGCTTCTGTAATCATTATCCTTCCAAAAACAATCAGGAAGGCAGCTGTGTTTTGATTTTTCTCTCCTAGATGAGTTGCTAGATAGTCTTAGTTACCTCACAAGTTAAAGACAGTTACAAATAATAACAAAAGATAAACTTTGCAATCAGTTAAATAGATAAATATTAGGAAATGATGAAATGATATAATTAAAATTAAATGAAACCAGCTAGGTTATTACTCAAACAACTGCTCTTAGTACAGAGACACTAAGACAATTGAACTTGCTTCACTTACTTTGTTATTAGTTTAGTAGACTGTTATGGCTAACTTAAAACTACAAACAAGAAAGCATTGACTTGCATTTTTTATTTTTATGATGTTCCACATCAATCCCTAACTTTTTTATTTTAGCTTAACTTGGAGTTAAATACATCATTTCAGCAGAAATATTCAGATTTGCTTCAAATTCTGAGTGCACAAAAACTAAGCAAGTTTTATCAACTTCAGTTTCTAAAAATCAGAAGAACAGCTGTTGTAAGAATGGGGTATTCCCTCATAAAACATTCCTTTGATCTCCTGTTTGTATTTGCTTTCCTGGATTTTATGTTTGTTGGAGCTCAGGAGAAGCCACCCTGTCACTTGGTAAGTTTCTTTATGCTTAGCAATATTATCCTTTAAATCAATTTTTCCATTGTTAAAAAAATTATTTTTTTTAAGTTTAAGAGAGAAGTTTTCTTTTAGTTGTTCTTAATTAATTAATACCACTTGTAAACTTGTAAAAACTTTTGGTGAATGTGAGCGCCTGGAGCTATGTTTATCAGGAATGTTTTCATTTGGTGGGGAATATTTGTAGAAATCAGTGTCACAGCTTAACATTTGATAAGAGTTAATCGAAACTTTGAGCTAGACTAGCTGTAGTGGCTGAATAGCGGACAGCTGAGATTGCTATTAACTTCTCTCATTGTTTTAAATTATTTTGTGTGGTACTTTTTAGAACATAGGGAAAACATATTGAAGGCTATAGTATAGCAACTATTAACTAAACCCTAGCCATTCTAACTTTAATCCTAACCCTGACTACAACACTAGCAGAAAAATCATTGATACAGCACTTTGATGTCATGTGTTTTTATAAGAACTCAAAAGAAATAAGGGAATGGAGAAATTAGTACTTTAATTTTTTTAAAGAACATCAGCTGCATTCAGCTGATCTAAGTTCTGTAGGCTTCAATAGAATATACACACATTTATTTATTCATTTTTTTGTTCTGGGATTGTAATCAAGTTTATAATAATAATTTTCCTGTGATCTTTACATATTTGTGAATTTTGTAAGGTTGATTGAATTTCAATTTTTATTTGGAGATGATCACTAAAGAGATTTATTGTAATTTTGCTTTAATGATTTGACTTCAAGATAATATTATTGAACATGTAGTGTAGTTTAGTTATAATGATTTGACTTCAAGATGATACCATTGAACATCCATATATATATAATTATCTATGTCGCCTAACCATGCGGGACACCACCATGCATGCACGCAGACTCTCTAACCCTCCTCCTGCCCCCTTCCTCACTCTCCAGGCATACGCAACAGACCATTTAGCTATCACCCCCACCCCGTCAGTCTGGTGAGCTGTTTAAACTGGCGTCACAGACGGCTGTTTTCACGGGGGAGAGGGAAGGGGATGGGGAGGATAATCGTCCTTCACGAGTTACTTTTAGTGTTTTAAAGCAAAATATTTTCAGTCGCAGCATTGGTAGTGTTGAATTCACAAATTATGCATTACTGAAAATAAAACAACTAAATAATGGCGTATGCCACGCCGCGGGTCGGTTTGTGTACTGTAATTTTGTTATAATGATCCAACTTCAGGATGATACCATTGAACATGTAGTTACGTTTTGTTATAATGATCCAACTTCAGGATGATACCATTGAACATGTAGTTTAGTTTTGTTATAATGATCCAACTTCAGGATGATACCATTGAACATGTAGTTTAGTTTTGTTATAATGATCCAACTTCAGGATGATACCATTGAACATGCAGTTTAGTTTTGTTATAATGATCCAACTTCAGGATGATACCATTGAACATGTAGTTTAGTTTTGTTATAATGATCTAACTTCAGGATGATTACCACTACGAGTACACAGAATGTGATAGTGAAGGTGGCAGGTGGAGAGTGTCTGTACCCAAAAATCCAGACAACTGTGTCCCTGGCCAATCACCTGGTGTAGCAGCTCGTGGGAAAGAATGCAGTAAGTCATTTGGATCCCATAGACAATTTGAAATCCTAACCTGTTTAGATACCATAGACAATTGAAAACTTTAACCCATTTTGATCCATTTAAAACAGTTTTCTACTGTTGAATGTTTCAGACTTTGCCTGCAGTGCAGGTCAGTATCTTGATATTCAAGGGAAGCAGGATTGCCTCCCTTGTCCAGCAGGCACATACTCCCTTGGTGGAGGAATCAGGTTTGATGAATGGGAAAAGTTGCCCACAGGTTTTGCTGTTAAAGTAGAGCGTGTTGGACCTAGTAGTGGCTTTGATCCATGGAGGAAAAAAGTACACGAGAAAGAAAAAAACTGCTCTCGGTGAGTACTCATAGAAATTCTACAAAATCTAAAGCCAGGTTTTCTGTTATTATTCATCAGTAGTAAATATCTGTGTGTAGACCACCAAATTTCTGGTCTTCATCTGGCCTCTAACCAGAAGTAAGTTTCCATTTCAGATCTGATGGTCATACAAGCAGATGAAGTAGAGTTCATCTGTTTCTGTGACCATTGCATATGAAGGGATAGTGTGGCCTTTACTTTCCTAATCTGATTCAGGGTACCATTAAAGCTGGGTCGACTCTAGACACCCTACAAATACTAGTCTAAGATCTGAACTTCAGACTGTTCTCCAAAATAATTTTTAAACATCTGGAGATCTATAACTACGTACTCAAGCATTGACATAAGGTGTAAATTATTTAGTTGGGTTGTCTCATGATGTAATTTATATGACAACCTTGTCTTTTTACTTTTGTCGTATAGAGGAAGTATTATAATCGTCCATAAATCAAAATGCAAATGTCGACTATTTACACCTCCCTGAGTCGGAAAAACATAGTTTTGCAATTTTGTCTTTATGTCTGTGTGTGGATGTATGTCTGTGTGTCTGTGAACATGTTAACTTGAATACCGTTACAGCTAGGTTGATGACATTTCATATATAAGTGTAATACCAAATTTGTAGTTCTGATCAACTTTTCAGTGATTTTCGGTAACCAGAAGTGGAACTTATTCTACTTTTGGTTTTTCTAAAGCCTGTAACTTAAGTAATGTTCCAGATAGACAGACGAAATTTCACAAATAAGTAAAAGATCTTATTCTCTGCCTTCCATCAAATTTTGGGTAATTTTTGTTTACTGGAAGTAGTGTTTTACGCTATTTTCGATTTCTTAAAAAACGCAAATGAATTTATTAAGTACTAATATTCCGCACTACTATACTCACATTGTTTTCTGTTTGCTTGGTGCGCAATTATTTTTTCTGTGTGATTCTATTCCATTTTAAAAAGTTTAAGTAATTAAAATTTGATTAAAAAATCATGTCTATATCTCGAGTTGCCATCCCCTGTAGTGTTATATAAGTATATTTTAGAAAGTCTAGGGGAGATCACTCCTTCTTTATTTAAATATATAGTATTTTGTATTTTGTCAAGTTCCTTTGTATTTTTTAAAAATACAGTTCTAGTTAAAGAAATCAACAAATGTTGATCTCTAGAAGGAAACCTTACTGTGTCTCATCTTTTCTCTCTCACTATGGCTGATATTGATCACCAGAATGGAATAGTATTGATTAATATACAAAGTTACTGTAGAAGCCATTTTATCCTTGACAAAATGTTCTGTCATATCTCACTCATAAAAGCCTGCTCATGTTCTAGAAATCCAATAGCTGACAAAAAAGTCTTTCCTGCTAGTTGGCTTCTACACGAGTCAGATTTTTCATGACTCTTACATTAGCATAGTTTTAAAATCTAGAGGTGATGTTAAAATATAGCCGTAATGGAAACTTGTGGTGTTTTAAGTTTATAAATTTGTCCACTATTAAAGTACAACAAATTTAGATAAATAATATTAAAAAAAAAACTAATGCTTTTGTTAAGGTTACCAAACTGCAACTACTAGTTATTTAGTTAATGTATAAGATAGGCATGTTGTTAGATCAATTAGTGAGTAACACTGGTACTAGTTATTGAGTTAATGAATAAGATAGGCATGTTGTTAGATCAATTAGTGAGTAACACTGGTACTAGTTATTGAGTTAATGAATAAGATAGGCATGTTGTTAGATCAATAAGTGAGTAACACTGGTACTAGTTATTGAGTTAATGAATAAGATAGGCATGTTGTTAGATCAATAAGTGAGTAACACTGGTACTAGTTATTGAGTTAATGAATAAGATAGGCATGTTGTTAGATCAATAAGTGAGTAACACTGGTACTAGTTATTGAGTTAATGAATAAGATAGGCATGTTGTTAGATCAATAAGTGAGTAACACTGGTACTAGTTATTGAGTTAATGAATAAGATAGGCATGTTGTTAGATCAATAAGTGAGTAACACTGGTACTAGTTATTGAGTTAATGAATAAGATAGGCATGTTGTTAGATCAATAACTGAGTAACACTGGTACTGGTGGACACATTCATTAGCTGCAGCTGCTGGCTGGTTATACTGGTGGTATTTATAACTACAGTCACAGTGTGTAGCTGAGGAGTGTACAGTTACCCAGTGTTGGGTTAATTAATGTAAATTACTTAATGGCCTTATATCAGGCTCTATAAAAAAATTGTTTGCACCCTAACCAGCTTTTACAATGTATGATGTAGAAAACGTACTATAGTGGCTGCCCTAAGCTAATGTTGAAAAACTTTTACTGATAATATTACCACTTTTACAGAGGTTTCTAATAAGGAATATGCTAATCAATCAATTATGCAGTGCTGCTGTTAATAAGCCATGGGGAGGGGGTTGCATGATTGTGAGGTGTCATCTAGACAGTAATTGTGATGTGGCATCTAGACAGTAATTGTGATGTGGCATCTAGACAGTAATTGTGATGTGTCATCTAGACAGTAATTGTGATGTGGCATCTCAGAGAGTAATTGTGATGTGGCATCTAGACAGTAATTGTGATGTGGCATCTAGACAGTAATTGTGATGTGGCATCTAGACAGTAATTGTGATGTATCATCTCAGACAGTAATTGTGATGTGGCATCTAGACAGTAATTGTGATGTGGCATCTAGACAGTAATTGTGATGGGATGTTTCTTGCAGGCTGCAGCCACACAAGACGCAAATGTGGACAAGTGGAAAAATCAATATTTTAGTCCCCATTCCAAAGTGTGTTGATATCATAGCACAAACAAGTTGATTTACATTTTCTTGCCACTGCATTAAGAAGTCCTGCACTGATTGTATAGATCTATCCATTGACATTTGCTGATACAGATGCTATAGATCTATCCATTGACATTTGCTAATACAGATGCTATAGATCTATCCATTGACATTTGCTGATACAGATGCTATAGATCTATCCATTGACATTTGCTAATACAGATGCTATAGATCTATCCATTGACATTTGCTGATACAGATGCTATAGATCTATCCATTGACATTTGCTGATACAGATGCTATAGATCTATCCATTGACATTTGCTAATACAGATGCTATAGATCTATCCATTGACATTTGCTAATACAGATGCTATAGATCCATCCATTGACATTTGCTGATACAGATGCTATAGATCTATCCATTGACATTTGCCAATACAGATGCTATAGATCTATCCATTGACATTTGCTAATACAGATGCTATAGATCTATCCATTGACATTTGCTAATACAGATGCTATAGATCCATCCATTGACATTTGCTGATACAGATGCTATAGATCTATCCATTGACATTTGCCAATACAGATGCTATAGATCTATCCATTGACATTTGCTAATACAGATGCTATAGATCTATCCATTGACATTTGCTGATACAGATGCTATGTTGTTTCGCCCCAATAAACAATTACTAAACAAAATTTGTGTGAATAACCAGACATACGGTTTAGTTTTTTAGAATGTTGTTTTACCTATGCTTAACTATTGAGTAGGAGTTTTTCTTTGTATAATTCAACTCAAAATTGTTCCTTTTTTTTTTAGACTTGTTGCCATTTCTTTAAACCACACTATAAATGTTCTTTAGTCTAACTGTTAGCAATTATTTTAACCTTACGCCCCGACCTACTTTTTGCTCACCTCAGCCCCACATTATTTTATGCTTGGTCCCCCCTGCCCTCAGATTACCATACATAATCCTCGTAGGGTTAACCATAAAGTAGTTTTGTTTACACTTAGTGATATTTGCATGTAGATAATTATTTGCCAATAATTAAATAAAAATATGAAAAATATGTTGGTAACATTAATTTATTAAATAAATATTTTATTGTGGTCTGCGTCTAGAGTCTGTGTACTGTATAGTGTTTAGCTATTGTCTGATTCAGGTTATTACCTCTATATAAAACTTTTACTTGTTATTAACATTTTTGTGCAACATGGTACAATTGGTACAACCACTCTCAGCCAGTGGATCGTAAAAAAAAAAATTGAAATGAAAGATGAAAAAACATTTTTTTTTTAAATTTTATATTCTGCTGTGTAGTGTGGTTATAGGTTAAATGTTTCATTTTGTGTTTATCAATGGTGTCTTTGTTAGATGAAAATCACACAACAGGGCAGGAATAGAAAGGTTAAAAATTCTGGAAGAAAAATAGAAATGTCTGCATCCAGGACAGCAAAATTTAATCTTGATTATGATTCTTCTTAATTGTGTGTAACCTTATGTAAGTCTGTAAATAGTCTAACAGTTTTTGTATGTCCATCCACCAGATCTGAGTGGACAACCCGAGGAAACTATATCATGTCTGTACCTGGCCAATGTCCAAGCAATTTACTTTTTTCTGCCAAACTTGTCAGACCAGGAAAAGTTTCTTTTGAATACCAGTACACAGATGTGGAGTCAATATTTCATTTTACTGTAAGCTGTGTTGGTACTTTTTGTTGTTGCCATTTAATGTATATTAAAGTGGGTAAATTACCAAGACAAATCTAGAATCAGCGTATCAATACATATAATGACAGGTCAGATCTTGATTGGGGTCACCACTCACATCAGGTCAGCACTTGTAGGGAGAATCACCATGGTTACTGTTTTAAACATCATACTTCTTGTTGTAAACATTGTGTTTGTTGATGTACTCAGGCCCAGAATGACCAGTGTCCAGCTTACCTCTTGTTGTAAACATTGTGTTTGTTGATGTACTCAGGTCCAGAATGACCAGTGTCCAGCATACCTCTTGTTGTAAACATTGTGTTTATTGATGTACTCAGGTCCAGAATGACCAGTGTCCAGCATTCCTCTTGTTGTAAATATTGTGTTTGTTGATGTACTCAGGTCCAGAGTGACCAGTGTCCAGCATACCTCTTGTTGTAAACATTGTGTTTGTTGATGTACTCAGGTCCAGAATGACCAGTGTCAAGCTTTAGACAGTGAAGACAATGACAGGTGGCCTGAGATTACCACTGAGGGAAAGTGGGCAACCATTGTGGTAAGATTGTTGACACACTCTCTCTTGAAATCTGTTATTGTAATAATGTAGTCTTTTTTTTTAGCTTGTATTTGTATTAATGTAGTCTTTCTTTGAACCTGAATTTGTATTAATTTAGTTATGAACAAATAGTTCCTAGCAGACCGCCACATCACATGTGCTAATCATGAACAAATGTCTGTGTATGGCTAGATAAATCTGAAATCAGGCATGAATGTGCTACAGTGGAGAACCATTGGAGCACTATCTGATATGATGCATACCAGTGTCAGTCCTGTCCTCATTAGAAAGATTGAAATTACTGGTCAGTATTACATCATTAGTGTGGCTAGTGTTTAGATTGAAATTATCGGCAGTATTACATCCTGGTTGTGTAGATTATATGAGTGTGGGAGAAGCTCCATTGGGTGTCTAATCTTTACCTGCTGTTCTGCAGGTGTTGCCTACACGTATGAGTGCACAAAATGTGCCAATGGCACCTACAGCAGTGGTGGCTCATCTTTCTGCCAGTTTTGTGGAGTAGACACGTATTCAGGTCATGGTGCAGCTCAATGTACACCTTGTCAAGCCACGGAATATGCAGGTACAACTTTTGGTGGTACTGTTGTTAAATGTAATGGCTCTCTATTGTTGTGGTTGGATGTCCTGATTTTTTTTTGCCATCCTTAATTTACTCAGCTTAAATAGGTACCTGTCTTAAATTTGGGAAATACAAGTTTTAAATAAGGTTCTGGCAAGTCCTCCTGTGGCCACTGACAGGCCCCAAATGCTGACCAAAATTGTACTACAATACTTCTCTGTCTTATACAAAAAATCTGTTTCTACAATATTTTAGAGCCAGGGTCAGCATCCTGCACCATGAGACCTGCATGTACTCTCTACGACTACTACAAGTATCAGAAACCTTGTAATGCTGATGGGAAGGTAACATTTGTTTTTGTGTGGTCATATATGGATCCTGATATATTGGTATGGTCAGTTAGACCTTGATAAATTGATATGGTCAAATATATCCTGTTCTATTGGTTTGGTCAAATATATCCTGATATATATATTGGTATGGTCAGTTAGACCTTGATAAATTGATATGGTCAAATATATCCTGTTATATTGGTGTGGTCAAATATATCCTGATATATTTAGGTATTATCAAATATACTTTTAGTAGAGCAAAACTATGTTAAGAAATAGTTGTTTTAAAATAAATCTCTTCTCTACTTCCTTACCAAACAACTAACTTTTAGACCCAGGTGAGCTACAAATGGATTGAACCAAAGATCTGCAATGATAAAGATCCCCTGTCTGTCCCACTGCCCAATGATGGGGAGCCTGTAGACTGTCCACCCTGTAATGCTGGCATGTACCAAGTGAACAATTCTAATTGTGAATTCTGTCCACCTAACCATTATGTTGGTGAGTCACAACTAGCATGTTGGTATAAGTAAACTGGCCACATCACATAACTTAGGCAAACTATGCTGACCTTGGCACATCACACCAACCACACCACACCACATTGACCTACCCAGTAGAATTTGTGCTTGATTTGAGTTGAAACAAAATAAGCTTATTTGAACTTTTTCTAAAGCTAGTTATGCATTTGTAAATATACATATAAATATCTGAGATAAAAACATGAATAGGGGTTTGGGGCTTGCATTAACTCAGCAGAAATCTTGGCAAAATATAACTGATTAAGAAGATATAACTCCTGTCATAGATGTACTCTGCTAAGTTTGTATAGCAGCAGGCTGGACTGTATGATTGTGTTACCTCTGCTAACATACATGAAACTATCTATCATAGATGAACACAATATGTGTATGGAGTGTAAAACCAGCACATCCCCCAAATACCAGATAGACTACAAATATTGGACGGAGATGCCACCTAATGTTTCCACCCATTGTGTTTCTGTTGGAAGTAAGTGGCTGCAGACATTACTTAGTTATCATGACTAAAAAGTTGTATGTTTTACCGTCAGACTGGCCTAACAAAAGTTGTATGCACCGCACCTAACAAAAGTTGTATGTTGCAGTGTCAGACTGCACCAGCACGGCAGGCTGGATACCCTCAGGAGACCACATCAGGACAAGTTTTGGTGTTAGTGACACCAACATCTTCATTGTTCTGATCCTCAAGTTGGCTGGGTTCAAGGGGGAGCCTGGCACTGTGGATGGCAAACCTATTCCACTCAGTACAGTCACCTTTGACCTGGAGATGGAGTGTGCCACTGCCTGTCAGCTGCTATTGCTGACTGTGAGTAAAGATTGAGACAAATTGGTTTTTTAAGTTGTCTGAGAAGTCAAGCCATTCAAAACCAGATATGTAAAAGTGTATACATGTTTTACACTGTTAATTTTCATAACAAAAAAAAAGTTCTATGTGCCTTAATAGGTCAGAGACTTTTCTTATTGGTACAGTCCAAGGCTCACAACTATGTTATTTACAAATATTAAGGTATTTCTTGAGATTTTGAAGATCCTGGCCAACACTGGAATTAATAAGTTTTTTTTTGTTTTCTTATTGTTCCATTACTAACTGTTAATTTCAACAGTTGTTTTTAGTTAAGAATTATTTTTTTAAACATAATAATTAATGAGATTAAAAATAGTTAAAATGCTTCTGCTGTTGAATAAGACTTAATTATAATTTAGTTAATATAGCAATATTGGAAACTAGAAAAGAAAGAAGTTCCTGTGACTATTGAAATAACAGAAAAAGTTGTGTTTTTTTTAAATAAATTTTTCTGGGATTGATATTATTTTTTTACTTGCAGATTGTTAAGTTATTTTAATCGCTTCCATAATAAACTGTATTAAAAAAATGAATTTTTTTTTTTTTAAAAATGAATATTTTAAAATCATTTTAAAAAATAGTGTCACAGTTTAAAAAACTGTTGCCTTATTGTCTGGCCGTAGGGGAAACAGAAATGTTTTCAGGCTTGGACTTTAGATGGTTCACACAGTTATTGTGTACAACAAATTGCTAATGATCAACTCGGTCGGTTATAATTTTATTAGTTTTGTTCCTTTCTCAGGATGCAACTGGAAAAAATGCAGTTCTACAGACATGGGAGTCTTCCACTCCCCGCAAGACATTTAGGTAAATGTTGTATCTGTTTTAACCTCCCAGCTGAAGGGGTCTAAACCAGCCCATCTGGTACTAGATGAACTTTCTCCAATCTTATCCTTTTATTTCTCTCTCCAATCTTATCCTTTTATTTCTCGCTCCAATCTTATCCTTTTATTTCTCTCTCCAATCTTATCCTTTTATTTCTATAATCTTATCCTTTTATTTCTCTCTCCAATCTTATCCTTTTATTTCTATAATCATCCTTTTATTTCTATAATCTTATCCTTTTATTTCTCTCTCCAATCTTATCCTTTTATTTCTCTCTCCAATCTTATCCTTTTATTTCTCTCTCCAATCTTATCCTTTTATTTCTCTCTCCAATCTTATCCTGTTATTTCTCTCTCCAATCTTATCCTTTTATTTCTCTCTCCAATCTTATCCTTTTATTTCTCTCTCCAATCTTATCCTTTTATTTCTCTCTCCAATCATATCCTGTTATTTCTATAATCTTATCCTTTTATTTCTCCAATCTTATTCTTTTATTTCTCTCTCCAATCATATCCTTTTTTTCTCCAATCATAACCTTTAATTTCTCTCTCCAGTCATGATATCTACACCAATGAATCCCTGACCTTGACTTGGGCCTTTCAGCCTGATGACTTTGGTCTGTCTATGACTGAGGCACAAGATGAAACCATCAAAATGAAAAATGTGGCTAAGATTTATAACATTCTTGTGACCAACACGTTAGAAGGGGGTGCAACTATGTGTGAATCCTGCCCTCAGGGAAAATCTAATTCAGGGTAGGTGTTGCCTTCTTTCTCAGCTGGTTGATGTCTTCAACTGCTAGCATTTTGTTAGAGGGTAGCTGCAACTGTTAGCATTTTGTTGGAGGGTTGATGCAACTTTTAGCATTTTGTTGGAGGGTAGCTGCAACTTTAAGCATTTTTTTGGAGTATAGTCACATCTTACCATTCTACCTGTCAGGTGTAAACCGTGTCCTGATGGCCAGTACATAGACTCCCACACACAAAGATGTGAGCCATGTCCAGAAGGCACTGTACTACCCAGCAGCAACTCCTGGGGCAAGTCCTCCTGCAAGCCATGTGGTCTAGGGCTGCATCCTGTCAATGGCAGGTCCTGTAAATCTGACTGTCGCTACACTGATGACTTGGGCAGGCAATACGACTTCACCGCACTCGACGGGTAGGCCATAACTGTTGCCTTTTGGTGGGGCAAGGCTCAGCAGTTACATCTCAACTATTTCTAACTATAACTTGAACTATTAGTAGATCTAAAAAAAAACTGTATTCCTATTTCTTGATTGGCATTTGTTAGTTTTAAAAAGTGTGTACAACTTTTTGTCTAGTGTCCATTTCATTGCTGGGGTGAGGTTGTTTACTGTCAGTGGAACACAGTACTACCATGGTTTCAACATCTCCTTGTGTAGCTATGGCAACAAGCCACTCCCAACTTGTGTCAACAATGTTACTACAGATGCTTTGGTAAGTTTTTTCATCAATTCTACCACAAATTCATGGTATCATATATCTTTTGTTTATTTTATCTATTGCACTTTTTATTTTTCTAGAATTACATGTTTAGATTTCTTGCCAGCAAGATTATTATTATATTTGATGTTTTGATTGTTGTATGTGATATATGGTCCTATTTTAGACCTAGTTTAGAAGATTGAGTTATCAAGATGGAGAACAAAATATTTGCCCAGAATGGAGTTCAACAGTGCCATTTTCTTTCAGCAGTGATTCTCTGTGTTAGCACACAAAAGGTATCCAGTACCATGTACTGCTTGTTGCCATTAACAACCAGGTTCATTCTGAATCCAGCATGTCTCATAGTGGGTTTGAAAGGCATGTAAAGGGTCATTAACATCACTAAACTAGTAGCAGCCCACATGTAAAGGGTCATTAACATCTCTAAACTATTAGCAGCCCACATGTAAAGGGCCATTAACATCTCTAAACTATTAGCAGCCCACATGTAAAGGGCCATTAACATCTCTAAACTAGTAGCAGCCCACATGTAAAGGGTCATTAACATCTCTAAACTATTAGCAGCCCACATGTAAAGGGCCATTAACATCTCTAAACTAGTAGCAGCCCACATGTAAAGGGTCATTAACATCTCTAAACTATTAGCAGCCCACATGTAAAGGGCCATTAACATCTCTAAACTAGTAGCAGCCCACATGTAAAGGGCCATTAACATCTCTAAACTAGTAGCAGCCCACATGTAAAGGGCCATTAACATCTCTAAACTAGTAGCAGCCCACATGTAAAGGGTCATTAACATCTCTAAACTAGTAGCAGCCCACATGTAAAGGGCCATTAACATCTCTAAACTAGTAGCAGCCCACATGTAAAGGGCCATTAACATCTCTAAACTAGTAGCAGCACACATGTAAAGGGCCATTAACATGGAGTAGTTGATTGACTCTAACAAACCTTATACACGGTCATAAGGCCTGCACACTGCCAGCATCATTGGCACCAGCACCCACAACCAATGGATTAACCTGCCAGCATCATTGGCACTAGCACCCACAACCTAATGGATTAACCTGCCAATATTATTATCACCAGCACCCACAACCTAATGGATTAACCATACTTATTTTCAGCAGAGGCTTGCTTTAACCAACTGCAATGACACTAATAACTAACCCACTTTTCATTTTCCCTCAAAGAAAAAGAGCTCCCACGACCAGGAGATAGTGTCTAGAGATAATGTATGTAATATCTGGCTGGTGATGGCTCCCTCTATGCTCATGACTGTTTCCCTTTTTTTTAATGAAACTACATATTTGACATTTTAAAGCTTGTTGCTGCATACTTGACATTTTAAAGCATTTTATTTTGTTAGAGTTTTCAAATATTCTAGACAGTCCTGTAGATTGATTTGACTACTTCAAACAGTCTAGTCACTACTGTAGATTGACCAGACACTACTGTAGATTGACCAGACACTACTGTAGATTGACCAGACAGTAGTGTAGATTGACCAGACACTACTGTAGATTGACCAGACACTACTGTAGATTGACCAGACACTACTGTAGATTGACCAGACACTACTGTAGATTGACCAGACACTAGTGTAGATTGACCAGACAGTAGTGTAGATTGACTAGACACTACTGTAGATTGACCAGACACTACTGTAGATTGACCAGACACTAGTGTAGATTGACCAGACACTAGTGTAGATTGACCAGACAGTAGTGTAGATTGACCAGACACTACTGTAAATTGACCAGACAAACCTGTAAGATTCAATGGCTGCTGTACAAACCTAGCATCCCTGAGTTTTAAACCAGCCCTCTCAATTCTGATAGAGAACTCTTACTCTAAACATAGGGCTATGTGCATGAAATAAGCATGCAGTGTTTTGGTAGAGGACTTATTTTGAGAGCATTTTGTAGATGTTGTTTTAAAACCTAATTTTTTTCTTTTTGATTTTTATTAATCTTGCTTTGTGCTTAAAATATTCTCATCATAATAAAAATATAAACTAATGGCCATTTCAAGCTAAATTTAATACCATTTCTTTATTTCTATCAAAACATACTTTGAATATAATTTACTATTTGCATGACATTTTCTTTTGGTCAGTTGGCCATGGCTTCTGGTTTGCATGTCTTTTATTAAACTTGTTTTAAAGTAGTGCTACTAATTTATTATAGCTTTAAGTTTTATTTAATTGTAAGTAGTACAGCAAGTTTTATTGACCACTTTAAGATAGGTGATATTTGTGTCTTTTAAATTTGAATTTATGATGATGTTTAGTACAGAATATCAAAATGTATTTTATATTTTATTCTTTCATTTTATTCATGTTAATTTTATGGCATAAGTTGTACCCAGTGTGTTTATTGTGCCATGTTAACTGTACACTGTGTTTACCTCCCATGCTAATGTCCACAGCTGTTGAACCAACCAGGTGCCTTGACCAGCATGGTCTGTCGGTCCACCCTCATACCTTCAGGTGACCAGGACAAACCTGTATCCACCCAGCCTGTCAGGTCAGTTGCTCACTCACTGCACATTCTGCCTAACATGTGTTCAATCAGACATTCTGCTCTAGATGTGTTTAATCAGACATTCTGCTCTAGATGTGTTCAATCACACATTCTGCTCTAGATGTGTTTAATCACACATTCTGCTGTAGATGTGTTTAATCAGACATTCTGCTCTAGATGTGTTCAATCACACATTCTGCTCTAGATGTGTTTAATCACACATTCTGCTGTAGATGTATTTAATCACACATTCTGCTCTAGATGTGTTTAATCACACATTCTGCTGTAGATGTGTTCAATCACACATTCTGCTCTAGATGTGTTTAATCAGACATTCTGCTCTAGATGTGTTTAATCACACATTCTGCTCTAGATGTGTTTAATCACACATTCTGCTTTAAATGTATTTAATCAGACATTCTGCTCTAGATGTGTTTAATCAGACATTCTGCTCTAGATGTGTTCAATCACACATTCTGCTCTAGATGTGTTTAATCAGACATTCTGCTTTAAATGTATTTAATCAGACATTCTGCTCTAGATGTGTTTAATCAGACATTCTGCCTAACATGTGTTCAATCAGACATTCTGCTCTAGATGTGTTTAATCAGACATTCTGCTCTAGATGTGTTCAATCACACATTCTGCTCTAGATGTGTTTAATCACACATTCTGCTGTAGATGTATTTAATCACACATTCTGCTCTAGATGTGTTTAATCACACATTCTGCTGTAGATGTGTTCAATCACACATTCTGCTCTAGATGTGTTTAATCAGACATTCTGCTCTAGATGTGTTTAATCACACATTCTGCTCTAGATGTGTTTAATCACACATTCTGCTTTAAATGTATTTAATCAGACATTCTGCTCTAGATGTGTTTAATCAGACATTCTGCTCTAGATGTGTTCAATCACACATTCTGCTCTAGATGTGTTTAATCAGACATTCTGCTTTAAATGTATTTAATCAGACATTCTGCTCTAGATGTGTTTAATCAGACATTCTGCTGTAGATGTGTTTAATCAGACATTCTGCTCTAGATGTATTTAATCAGACATTCTGCTCTAGATGTGTTTAATCAGACATTCTGCTCTAGATGTGTTTAATCAGACATTCTGCTCTAGATGTGTTTAATCAGACATTCTGCTCTAGATGTGTTTAATCACACATTCTGCTCTAGATGTATTTAATCACACATTCTGCTCTAGATGTGTTTAATCAGACATTCTGCTCTAGATGTGTTTAATCAGACATTCTGCTCTAGATGTATTTAATCAGACATTCTGCTGTAGATGTGTTTAATCAGACATTCTGCTCTAGATGTATTTAATCAGACATTCTGCTCTAGATGTGTTTAATCAGACATTCTGCTCTAGATGTGTTTAATCAGACATTCTGCTCTAGATGTGTTTAATCAGACATTCTGCTGTAGATGTGTTTAATCAGACATTCTGCTCTAGATGTATTTAATCAGACATTCTGCTCTAGATGTGTTTAATCAGACATTCTGCTCTAGATGTGTTTAATCAGACATTCTGCTCTAGATGTGTTTAATCAGACATTCTGCTCTAGATGTGTTTAATCACACATTCTGCTCTAGATGTGTTTAATCAGACATTCTGCTGTAGATGTATTTAATCAGACATTCTGCTCTAGATGTGTTTAATCAGACATTCTGCTCTAGATGTGTTTAATCAGACATTCTGCTGTAGATGTGTTTAATCAGACATTCTGCTGTAGATGTATTTAATCAGACATTCTGCTCTAGATGTGTTTAATCAGACATTCTGCTCTAGATGTGTTTAATCAGACATTCTGCTCTAGATGTGTTTAATCAGACATTCTGCTGTAGATGTGTTTAATCAGACATTCTGCTCTAGATGTATTTAATCAGACATTCTGCTCTAGATGTGTTTAATCAGACATTCTGCTCTAGATGTGTTTAATCAGACATTCTGCTCTAGATGTGTTTAATCAGACATTCTGCTCTAGATGTGTTTAATCAGACATTCTGCTCTAGATGTGTTTAATCACACATTCTGCTCTAGATGTGTTTAATCAGACATTCTGCTGTAGATGTATTTAATCAGACATTCTGCTCTAGATGTGTTTAATCAGACATTCTGCTCTAGATGTGTTTAATCAGACATTCTGCTCTAGATGTATTTAATCAGACATTCTGCTGTAGATGTGTTTAATCAGACATTCTGCTGTAGATGTGTTTAATCAGACATTCTGCTCTAGATGTGTTTAATCAGACATTCTGCTCTAGATGTGTATCTCTAAGTTTTATATTTGCAGCCTGGGCACCCACTTGACAAAGATCCTGACTAACATCAGCCTACAGGGCCTGTACACTGAAGATGGCTTCCCAGCTCAAGGTACTTGTCATCTCCTACCTCTAGCTTTCTGCTTCAACTAGTTCATCATGTGTAGCTTTCTAGTCAATCTTCAACGAAACTTTTATTTTAACAGTGTTTCTCATTCATCCATCTAAAACTGTCCAAAAAATGTAATTTTTTGTTTGTTTCAGAAACTGAAAGAGACATACATTTCTATTACGAGTCTGGCGGGTGAGTTAATACAGCCATTTAAATAATTACAACTACAAAGCTGGCAGAATCAATTGTTTCCTTCACAACTTTGTCCTGCTGTCTTTTAGTACAGTTTAGCTCGGGCCTGTCCTAATGATAAAACTTATCTATTTAGCTCCACCAGTGCCTGTCCTAATGATACAACTTACCTATCTAGCTCCACCAGTGCCTGTCCTAATGATAAAACTTTATCTATCTAGCTCCACCAGTGTCTGTCCTAATGATAAAACTTTATCTATCTAGCTCCACCAGTGCCTGTCCTAATGATAAAACTTTATCTAGCTCCACCAGGGCCTGTCCTAATGATAAAACTTTATCTATCTAGCTCCACCAGTGTCTGTCCTAATGATAAAACTTTATCTATCTAGCTCCACCAGTGCCTGTCCTAATGATAGAACTTATCTATCTAGCTCCACCAGTGCCTGTCCTAATGATAAAACTTTATCTATCTAGCTCCACCAGTGCCTGTCCTAATGATAAAACTTTATCTAGCTCCACCAGTGCCTGTCCTAATGATAAAACTTTATCTAGCTCCACCAGGGCCTGTCCTAATGATAAAACTTATCTATCTAGCTCCACCAGGGCCTGTCCTAATGATAAAACTTATCTATCTAGCTCCACCAGGGCCTGTCCTAATGATAAAACTTTATCTATCTAGCTCCACCAGTGTCTGTCCTAATGATAAAACTTTATCTATCTAGCTCCACCAGTGCCTGTCCTAATGATAAAACTTATCTATCTAGCTCCACCAGGGCCTGTCCTAATGATAAAACTTTATCTATCTAGCTCCACCAGTGCCTGTCCTAATGATAAAACTTTATCTATCTAGCTCCACCAGGGCCTGTCCTAATGATAAAACTTTATCTATCTAGCTCCACCAGTGCCTGTCCTTATGATAAAACTTTATCTATCTAGCTCCACCAGGGCCTGTCCTAATGATAAAACTTTATCTATCTAGCTCCACCAGGGCCTGTCCTAATGATAAAACTTATCTATCTAGCTCCACCAGGGCCTGTCCTAATGATAAAACTTTATCTATCTAGCTCCACCAGTGCCTGTCCTAATGATAAAACTTTATCTAGCTCCACCAGGGCCTGTCCTAATGATAAAACTTATCTATCTAGCTCCACCAGGGCCTGTCCTAATGATAAAACTTATCTATCTAGCTCCACCAGGGCCTGTCCTAATGATAAAACTTTATCTATCTAGCTCCACCAGTGCCTGTCCTAATGGTAAAACTTATCTATCTAGCTCCACCAGGGCCTGTCCTAATGATAAAACTTATCTATCTAGCTCCACCAGTGTCTGTCCTAATGATAAAACTTTATCTATCTAGCTCCACCAGTGTCTGTCCTAATGATACAACTGATCTATCTAGCTCCACCAGTGCCTGTCCTAATGGTAGAACTACCATCATAAGTTTAAGATGTGACCCAGATAAGACAGGCCAGGGAGAGATATTGCTGCCCCCCAAGTGTTCAGATGGAACTTGTGATGGCTGCTTGTTTCACTTCCTCTGGTTGACCAACCATGCATGCCCTAGATGCCGCAGGGAGGACTACTCAGTGCTGAAAGGGGAATGTATTAAAGGGGAGCAACGCATTCACTACTTTCCACCAGCGTGAGTCTTGATTCAAGATTTTATTAGAATAAATAAAAAGGTAGCTGCTGTGAGGTTTATGCAAGTTTTCACTTTTGAGGTAAGCCCAAAATAAAGTCTCTGTCTCTAAAGACTCTGTTGTGTGCTGATGAAGACCTTACTGTGCCTGCTTCTAACACTACCTGTTTCATTGCTAGTGATATTTTTATTAACTATTTTCATCTCTAGCCATTGCACCCACCTGCCTGAAGATGCACTGACACCTGTCAGCCAGAAATGTCAAGTTTTGCCCTTTGCTGTAAGTCTCTCACCTGGTTTGGTACTAGTTTCTCCTGTTTATGAGGAGTTGTTTTTTTTACCTTACTGAAACTGTCCAGATAAATGGTGCAACTGTCTAGCTAAATGGTGTAACTGTCTAGCTAAATGGTGTAACTGTCTAGCTAAATGGTGTAACTGTCTAGCTAAATGGTTTCCCTCCCCTTCAGGTGATGGTGGCCATACCTGTTTCACTTGGCCTTGGACTCATCATGATGCTGCTGCTAATTTACTGCTGGTCCAGGAATAAAAAGTGAGAAACTTTTAAATTTTAGTTTTGTTAGAAAACTTTTTAAATCATACATCTTAGAAGAAGATATGTGAAAGTTAAATGTAAAGAAATGTAGCAGCCTTTCAGAATTGTATGCAAACAGCGCATGCAGTGCAACAAGTAACTTATGTGTAGACTAAAGTATAAATGCATGACATATGTTAGGCTAGAGCACAAGTACATGACATGTCTCCTTAGGCTAGAGTACAAGTACATGACATGTCTCCTTAGGCTAGAGTACAAGTACATGAAGCTTGTGGAAACAGCAGGCGGACATGATGGTGAACTGCCTGCAGCAGAGACTTGTGGCATGGAGGATGATGAGGAGGATGTCCACTTTGTTGACCACAAGAGTATCAGCTTCTTGGGTAAAATCAAAGAGAAGTTCTCCAAGAATCCAATGAAGGTTTGTAATTTCTTGTTTTATTTTAGCCAAATAAAGTAATGTGTGCCTTCTTGTACAATTTTCTCCATAATCTCACAAGTTGCTTGTGAAATTATGGTTGTATTCAAACAGTTGCCTTCTGTAAAAATCAATTATTAAGTCTTGAAAAAGCATCGGAAAAATAATCATTAAAGGTTTTAAAGATGTTTAGTGGTGCAGTGATTAAAATTTAGAATACAAAAGCCAAGCCACATTAATTCTAAAAATACAGAAGGCAGGAATTTCTTTTTTAGTATGTGAACTCACTCTGACCTTGTGGATGGGTAGCCATTGAAGATGGTTACTCATTGAAATAGAATTTATCTTTTAATTTAGCTTTCTTTTTCTTTGCTGAACTAAATCAACAAAAAATGCTTTAGAACCGAAAATTTTTATTTAGGGGCTGGGAGCTCTTGTCAAGAGAGTGACATAAATAAACAGTAAGACTTGATACGCTGTTTAGCACTAGTGCATTACATGTGCAGGTTTGGTTGTTGTGTATTGATGTATTAGTACAGAATTGTCACTCACTGACTTGTCATTCACAGGAGGATGACAACCCTTTTGTGGCAGTGAAGATGTCAGAGAAGATGTCATTGACGTAGTTGCATCTGGAAGATTGACGCATGCACATATTTAGTGAGAATGTCAAACTTGGTGTGTGACAGAAGTGTTTGGTCAGAGTTTCACAGTCGGTCACAGTGGATGTGTCCCCTTATTTTTATGTTGACAGATTTCATATGGTGGGGTAGATGTAAGAAAAGGGAGAAACCCTTTGCAGTCTTTTAAAAACTCATCTCAATCCTCTCTCCACTTACCCAAGATGATCTGCTTTTTTAAGGTGGTGGGAAATCTCTGTGCTTTAAATGTCATTGTTACGTATATCCTTGTGGAAGCTTTTTAAATATCTGAGTGAATCTAGTCAAGGTTTTCTGTCTTGTACTAATAGTTTTAAAATCTCTCTGGGAAATCCTCTACTGAAAGTTTTTTTTAAAAAACAAGTTCATTATTTATTTCTTTAGAAAAATTGATTTCCATGGTTGTAAGCTGGTTAGTGCTCTGTTAGAAATAGTTTATTTCCATTTCTGTATGAGACTACCACAGTAAGATTAATGATCCATAAAACTCTCTCCCAGCATTTACTGGTTTATTCAAATATTTCCTCACTCACACACTTCAAGTCATGCATGTAAAATACTCATTTTCCTTCAAACTTTATTTTCTTCTAAAATGCATAATGAATTATTTTTTTGTCACAACTAAGCACATAACTTTGATTAAATTTGGAAAAACATGAATTCCAGGGTTTCTAGACTTATTTATTTTCACTAATTTCATGTAGTCAGATATGACTGGCTGTGTAACACATTGTACATTGTTAACTATTATTTGCTTGGAGTCATTTCTTTTATACAAGTCACTTTAATGTGGTTAAACTATTTTTGTCCATTTGATTCATCTAATTAACATTGGGTTTACACATTGAAAATCAAATGCTTGCTTTTCAGTTCTATCCTTATTCATCTCTATATGTATAAAATTACAGAATGTTTTAGTCAGTGACTTACTTCCCCTATCACTGCCTTTTCTCATTGAACTGCTGCTTGATGGACTGCTTAGTGTTGGTGTGTATTGAGTGATAAGGGACTGGTGGATTGGCTTGGTGTGTGTTGAGTGATAAGGGACTGGTGGATTGGTTTAGTGTTGGTGTGTATTGAGTGATAAGGGACTGGTGGATTGGCAAGTGTTGGTGTGTATTAGGTGATAAGGGACTGGTGGATTAGCTTAGTGTTGGTGTGTATTGAGTGATAAGGGACTGGTGGATTGGTTTAGTGTTGGTGTGTGTTGAGTGATAAGGGACTGGTGGATTGGCTTAGTGTTGGTGTGTATTGAGTGATAAGGGACTGGTGGATTGGCTTAGTGTTGGTGTGTATTGAGTGATAAGGGACTGGTGGATTGGCTTAGTGTTGGTGTGTATTGAGTGATAAGGGACTGGTGGGTTGGTTTAGTGTTGGGTGATAAGGGACTGGTGGATTGGCTTAGTGTTGGTGTGTATTGAGTGATAAGGGACTGGTGGATTGGCTTAGTGTTGGTGTGCATTGAATGATAAGGGACTGGTGGATTGGCTCCAGTGTTAGTGTGTATTGAGTGATAAGGGACTGGTGGATTGGCTTAGTGTGTATTGAGTGATAAGGGACTGGTGGATTGGCTTAGTGTTGGTGTGTATTGAGTGATAAGGGACTGGTTTAGTGTTGGTGTGTGTTGAATGATGAAAGAATCAGTGGACTGACATCTCCCCTATATCACCTGCAAGCAATAGTGTTGTATTTAGCAAAATTGCTATGGTTGTTTTACACACCCCTACAGATCTGTAAAACAAATGTGTATATGTTCTTGTGTATTATTGCCATAAACTTGCTGTGTTGTTTCAAGATTGTATTAAAATCATCTTAACAAATGTATTGGTTTTTGGTATAAAGATTCACTTTTTCCTCATTTTTTGGCTAGATGAAGCAGTAGTTTAGCACATTGGCTGTGGCAGCTGTATGGGAAATCTTGAGGAGCAGATTGACAGATTCTTCAATGATTGTTATTAACAAAATGTGGCATCAATGTGCAACACATTGTAATCTGCTAATCTACCAGCTATATTTGCGACTGCAGTAGCCGGGGGGGGGGGGGGGGGGGGGGGGGCGGGATGGACACAGCTGGATGGACACTATAGGAAATAAGTTGTACAATAAGTATTCTATCCTGAACTTTTCCTAATTAATAGGTTATGTGTTGGTTAGGTTCAATGCAATTTGTAATTGTCATGTGAGTAATGACCTGCTGCCAAATGTGACAGCTAAAAACACTTGAGTTGCTGCATGTATGATACAACACTGTCACCGAGTGTCAGCCCCAATGTTACATGCAAACAGTGGCAAACTATACAGAATTTGTTCAACTGTTGGGTAACAAAATGTGTAGGGCTCTGGGAAAAACGAGTGATAGAATATCTTAGTCCAGCCGTTGTTACATTTAGATAGACCATCACAGAAAACTTTTAGACATGGCCCAGATACACTGTCATCCTATAACAACTATCACAGAAAGACTAGCACAGCGTAATTTTTTATTTAAATTGTTGCATTCCATATTTGCGTGGCTGCCATTCACATTTTAAAAACATTTTTCATCAAGTCAGATCTTTGACTGGCAGCCATATTGGGCGCTAGTATTAGATTCATGACAAGATCATTAAAGTAAGCAAACAGCCTAGTTGTTGACAAGTTTTTACATTTGAATGGACACTTCAAAATAATGCTCACAGGTCAAGTTCAAGGTATGTACAGACTGATGCACATAGTGCACAATAAACTTTAAAGAGTTAACTTGAGTATATGTTGCTACTAAATGTAATACATGTCTCTAATCTCTGTGGAAGGCTTCAAATGGATGTTTTAAATAACAGCACCATTGACACATGTTGAAGTCTTCTATAGATTTACTGCTGGCTGCTTTAGATTTACTGCCGGATGCTTTACACCAGTGAAACAAAAAATAACAAAATCTCTAAAAACTTTTTAGGTATGTTTTGGTTTCTTACTTGGTTGTGCCAGCAATGATTAGTAGCTGTACATGTAGCTTTTCCAATAGGCACATCTCTTGTGACATTTGTTGGCATGACAGCACTAGTGACACAACATGCTGGCATACATAGCTAATGACATATGCCAGCACACAGGTAATGACATGACATTATCAGTTCACCTAAACTTATTGAGTTTAACAACCAACCCTAGCTAATTAAAACAAGCTCATACACTGTGTGTACCCTAGTCTAGGAAAATATACAACATCCATAAGTTTTATTTTTCTCCTGAGTCATATTCTGTGGGAGCATAGCTGACCACACAACTAGCCTCAGTGTGATAGCTGACCACACAACTAGCCAGAGTGTGACAGCTGACCACACAACTAGCCAGAGTGTGACAGCTGACCACACAACTAGCCAGAGTGTGACAGCTGACCACACAACTAGCCTCAGTGTGATAGCTGACCACACAACTAGCCTCAGTGTGATAGCTGACCACACAACTAGCCAGAGTGTGACAGCTGACCACACAACTAGCCTCAGTGTGTGATAGCTGACCACACAACTAGCCAGAGTGTGACAGCTGACCACACAACTAGCCTCAGTGTGATAGCTGACCACATAAGTAGCCTCAGTGTGTGACAGCTGACCACACAACTAGCCTCAGTGTGGCAGCTGACCACACAACTAGCCTCAGTGTGTGACAGCTGACCACACAACTAGCCTCAGTGTGTGACAGCTGACCACACAACTAGCCTCAGTGTGTGACAGCTGACCACACAACTAGCCTCAGTGTGTGACAGCTGACCACACAACTAGCCTCAGTGTGTGACAGCTGACCACACAACTAGCCACAGTGTGTGACAGCTGACCACACAACTAGCCTCAGTGTGTGACAGCTGACCACACAACTAGCCTCAGTGTGTGACAGCTGACCACACAACTAGCCTCAGTGTGTGACAGCTGACCACACAACTAGCCTCAGTGTGTGACAGCTGACCACACAACTAGCCAGAGTGTGTGACAGCTGACCACACAACTAGCCTCAGTGTGTGACAGCTGACCACACAACTAGCCTCAGTGTGGCAGCTGACCACACAACTAGCTTCAGTGGTTCCCTGTTAGACTACTGTAAATGCAATAGATCCTGTTTACTTGGACATGATAATGTACAGAAAAATCTCAAATATATGAAAGTGTGGACAGCCTGATACTGATCCTAAAATAGCTGGTGCAAGAATAGCAAATGTTCTATGGACACTTCAAGGTTACAAGTGGGGACTGGGTGCTGTATGCTTGCTAGACATGTTGAGATTGCTGAGTAGAAAATAAATATACAGCACTACAAAACTATACACATGAAACCTGGGCCTAATTCTTGCATGTAAAATAAAAGGTGTGCAGGACAATGTTGGTCCAGCTAGACCTGGTGCTCTATCATCTGCTAGTGTGAGAATAAATCCTCCAGCATCAGATCCAGGGCTCAGGCAAAGTTTTCTTTCTCAAAGACCAACTTGACAGCCTCTAAGACATTGGGCACTACATGGTTGGGGTGGGTTAGGGAGGGGTCAATGACAAAGTCTCTATGGTTATGGTTGCTGATCCTAGCATTAGCAAAAGAATTGGCGTCATTGCTCTTCTTGAACACCCCGGTGCACACAAGTATACTCTCACAGGCTGAAGCCTTGACCACACCCGTGGTGTCCTCCTCCAGGGACTTGATGACCCGCACGTTGGCCCCAGAGTCTCGCTGAAACATCAGCGTGTCGTCCTCGTCCTCCTCCCCACTGTCCTCATCTAGAAACTCAGCATCCGCCCTGTGTGAGGCTACCCTCAGTTTCTTAGAGTCTGTGTGTCCGTTGCTGCTGTTCCTCCTGCGCTGTAGGTATCTGTTGTACAGGTTGCCACCATATATATCAGTCTCTGGGTTATCTCTGGGGAATACAACAATATAACCATATATACATGTCTTTGGGGAATACAACCTTATATATCAGTCTCTGGGTTATCTCCAGGGAATACAACCATATATGTCAGTCTTTGGGAATACAGCCATATAATAATAGAATCATTCTCTAGGGAATACAACCATAATATCAGTTTGAGGGTAATATAGAGTAGCCCAGGAAGATTGAACTTACCCTATACAATATATCCTGCGTATATTCTCCACCCCCAGCAGCTTGGCCTGTTGGGTGAGCAGATAGTCAGCGTGGTGGTATGTGATTTCACTGGGTTTTCCTATCAGTGCTGTGTACTTCATTTCCTTCCCTGTTATTTTCTGGTGGGTATCAAACAAACCAAATCACATTTTAAAATCTAAACATAACCTTCGAATTACATGAAATATTTTAACAGTTTTAAAGTATTCGATTGGTTATTTCTACTCAACAAATTGGCATTGAAAAATAGTATACAAGATGGTGGTGACAGCTACAAGATGGTGGTGGTGACAGCTACAAGATGGTGGTGGTGATAGCAACGAGATGGTGGTGACAGCTACAAGGTGATGGTGACAGCTACAAGATGGTGGTGGTGACAGCTACAAGATGGTGGTTACAGCTACAAGATGGTGGTGGTGACAGCTACAAGATGATGGTGGTGACAGCTACAAGATGGTGCTGATGAGAGCTACAAGATGGCGGTGGTGATAGCTACAAGATGGTGGTGGTGACAGCTACAAGATGGTGGTGGTGACAGCTACAAGATGGTGGTGGTGACAGCTACAAGATGGTGGTGGTGACAGCTACAAGATGGTGGTGGTGACAGCTACAAGATGGTGGTGACAGCTACAAGATGGTGGTGACAGCTACAAGATGGTGGTGACAGCTACAAGATGGTGGTGACAGCTACAAGATGGTGGTGACAGCTACAAGATGGTGGTGGTGACAGCTACAAGATGGTGGTGACAGCTACAAGATGGTGGTGGTGACAGTTACAAGATGGTGGTGGTGACAGCTACAAGATGGTGGTGGTGACAGCTACAAGATGGTGGTGGTGACAGCTACAAGATGGTGGTGGTGACAGCTACAAGATGGTGGTGGTGACAGCTACAAGATGGTGGTGGTGACAGCTACAAGATGGTGGTGGTGACAGCTACAAGATGGTGGTGGTGACAGCTACAAGATGGTGGTGGTGACAGCTACAAGATGGTGGTGACAGCTACAAGATGGTGGTGGTGATAGCTACAAGATGGTGGTGGTGACAGCTACAAGATGGTGGTGGTGATAGCTACAAGATGGTGGTGGTGATAGCTACAAGATGGTGGTGGTGACAGCTACAAGATGGTGGTGGTGATAGCTACAAGATGGTGGTGGTGATAGCTACAAAATGGTGGTGGTGACAGCTACAAGATGGTGGTGGTGATAGCTACAAGATGGTGGTGGTGACAGCTACAAGATGGTCGTGGTGACAGCTACAAGATGGTGGTGACAGCTATAAGATGGTGGTGACAGCTACAAGATGGTGATGGTGACAGCTACAAGATGGTGGTGACAGCTATAAGATGGTGGTGACAGTTACAAGATGGTGGTGACAGCTACAAGATGGTGGTGGTGACAGCTACAAGATGGTGGTGACAGCTACAAGATGGTGGTGACAGCTACAAGATGGTGGTGGTGACAGCTACAAGATGGTGGTGGTGACAGCTACAAGATGGTGGTGGTGATAGCTACAAGATGGTGGTGGTGATAGCTACAAAATGGTGGTGGTGACAGCTACAAGATGGTGGTGACAGCTATAAGATGGTGGTGACAGCTACAAGATGGTGATGGTGACAGCTACAAGATGGTGGTGACAGCTATAAGATGGTGGTGACAGTTACAAGATGGTGGTGACAGCTACAAGATGGTGGTGGTGACAGCTACAAGATGGTGGTGACAGCTACAAGATGGTGGTGACAGCTACAAGATGGTCGTGGTGACAGCTACAAGATGGTGGTGACAGCTATAAGATGGTGGTGACAGCTACAAGATGGTGATGGTGACAGCTACAAGATGGTGGTGACAGCTATAAGATGGTGGTGACAGTTACAAGATGGTGGTGACAGCTACAAGATGGTGGTGGTGACAGCTACAAGATGGTGGTGACAGCTACAAGATGGTGGTGACAGCTACAAGATGGTGGTGGTGACAGCTACAAGATGGTGGTGGTGACAGCTACAAGATGGTGGTGGTGATAGCTACAAGATGGTGGTGGTGATAGCTACAAAATGGTGGTGGTGACAGCTACAAGATGGTGGTGGTGACAGCTACAAGATGGTGGTGGTGACAGCTACAAGATGGTGGTGACAGTTACAAGATGGTGGTAACAGCTACAAAATGGTGGTGGTGACAGCTACAAGATGGTGAGAGACAGTATACAACACCAAGTTGGTAAGCAAGCAGCCAGACCTACCTGATAAAGCCCCTCTAAAGCATTCATGAAACATCCATGGCCTAACCTGGTGATAGAGAATGACAATATGAGGTTAACAGTTGGGACACTTTTCATTGGGTGACATTAATGACATGTTTCATTGGGTGACATGTGACATGTTTCATTGGGTGACATGTGACATGTTTCATTGGGTGAATTATCTGAATATAACAGCCCAGGTGGGCACTTGCTCTCTCTGTAACACTGACACCATCACTAGATAATTCTGAGGCTATGAGATCAGAATGTCCTGCACTATGAGTAGAACTTAAAGTTATACTTATGGTGAGAAAAATAGGCAATGTACTATGAAATGTTATTTAAAGATGGTTATAAAAGACTTATGGTGAGAAAAATAGGCTGGTTATAGTCAATGTACCAGGACATTTTATTTAAAAATGGTTATAAAAGACTTATGGTGAGAAAAATAGGCTGGTTATAGTCAATGTACCAGGACATTTTATTTAAAGATGGTTATAAAAGTTAAAGACATTCACACATTGAATTAAGCAACCCCAAATAGTAATTTATTATTGCATCAAACAGGAAATGCTTATTTTCAAAACAAACATGGTGTCTAATGTAATTCAAACGTGACAAAGTTGCAGATAAAAAAGTTCAACCAGATGTTTTGGTACCCAGACTCTAGGCTAGAGTCTAGAAGAACTAACCTGACCTAGAGATACTAACCTGACCTAGAGGGACTGACCTGACCTAGAGGAACTAATTTGGCCTAGAGGGACTGACCTGACCTAGAGGGACTGACCTGACCTAGAGGGACTGACCTGACCTAGAGGGACTGACCTGACCTAGAGGAACTGACCTGACCTAGAGGAACTGACCTGACCTAGAGGAACTGACCTGACCTAGAGGAACTGACCTGACCTAGAGGAACTGACCTGACCTAGAGGGACTGACCTGGCCTAGAGGGACTGACCTGACCTAGAGATACTGACCTGACCTAGAGATACTGACCTGACCTAGAGATACTGACCTGACCTAGAGGGACTGACCTGACCTAGAGGAACTGACCTGACCTAGAGGGACTGACCTGACCTAGAGGAACTGACCTGACCTAGAGGAACTGACCTGACCTAGAGGGACTGACCTGACCTAGAGGGACTGACCTGACCTAGAGGAACTGACCTGACCTAGAGATACTGACCTGACCTAGAGGGACTGACCTGGCCTAGAGGAACTGACCTGACCTAGAGGGACTGACCTGACCTAGGGAACTACACGTTCAACATTGTGCCAAGCTTTTTGAGTAGTTTTGTTTTTCTAGCTGTGAAGCTAGCCAAGACATCACTATCTCAGTGAACACAGCGCATCTAGAAAGTTGTGTACCGTTAGAGTTCACGACAGATCTCTTACGCAATACCGACAAGAACCCACACCATAGACAAGAACCCACACCATAGACAAGAACCCACACCATAGACAAGAACCCGCACCATAGACAAGAACCCACACCATAGACAAGAACCCACACGATAGACAAGAACCCGCACCATAGACAAGAACCCACACCATAGACAAGAACCCGCACTTAAGTCACGCGGCCACACCATAGACAAGAACCCGCACTTAAGTCACGCGGCCACACAATGCATGAAGGAAAGCTTTTTGCAACGCTGTGTAGTTTTTGTTGCGTTTGGTGGGCCCCGTGTAGCCGCCACCGGTGGGCCCCGTGTCGCTTTTAGTGGGCCCTGTGATGATTTTGGTGGGCCCCGTGTTGATTTTGGTGGGCCCGTTGTAGCCGTTGTTCAACAATTTTGTATAACACTGCGTTTGATAGACCTTTACGTTTGTGTAATAACTATTTTCAATATCCTGATAATAAAGGCTTCAGTAATAAAAGACGGACGAGATTGGTTTATAAATCAGTAACAGCTTTGGTTTTGTTTGATGGTTTTCAATGAAATGAGGTCATCTAATAATAGAAGGTGAATGATCGTGTTATCCAGCAGAACTAGGTCAGAGCAGGCAATGACACAGCATTATTTAATGCTGCTTCATAACAGTGTATGTGACCTAATGATGTGACCGACCTACTGATGTGGCTAACTTGATGTTGCAGCTAATTAAATGATGTGGCTAACTTGATAATGTTGCTAATTAAATGATGTGGCTAACTTGATAATGTTGCTAATTAAATGATGTGGCTAACTTGATAATGCTGCTAATTAAATGATGTGGCTAACTTGATAATGTTGCTAATTAAATGATGTGGCTAACTTGATGTTGCTGCTAATTAAATAGTGGCTAACTTGATAATGTTGCTAACTAAATGATGTGGCTAACTTGATAATGTTGCTAATTAAATGATGTGGCTAACTTGATAATGTTGCTAATTAAATGATGTGGCTAACTTCCATGCTTCATTCCATGTGTGCTACATGGTGTGGGTTTCATTCCATGTGTGCTACACGTTGTGGGTTTCATTCCATGTTTGCTACATGGTGTGGGCTTCATTCCATTGCGATCACTACACTAGAGAACCTACTGGTCAAATCCAGCCAATGGACAAGACTTTGTAACAGAGAGCAGCTATCAGTTGAGCTTAGTCACTGAACATGAACCGGACATTGAGAATCAATAACAAATCATGACCCGCCTTATGACATCCGTGTTGGCCCCGGGTTGTTGGTCGTAAACATCCGGCCCTCGGAGCCGTGTGGGTCACCAACTCCTGGCTCTCGACACTGGGGCCAGCAACTCGTGACACTAGGGTCACTAACTCTTGGCTCTAGCCCCATAGGGCCACCAGTCCCGTAAAGGATGATCTGTTAAGAGTACACTTTTAACTAGCTACCACCTCACCCCCTTATAGACCCATACCACCCCCTGACTCATCCACACATAACCCACCCACCCCCACTGATCCATGCCCCCCCCCCTCATCACTGATCCATACCACCCCCCCCCCCACTGACCCACGCCACCCCCTCACAGACCCATCCTACCCCCTCACTGGAAATTACAGTCTTTACAGCTAACATACGATCAAACATACAGTTTCAATTGAATGAAAAAATTAACTGAGTTCATGTTCGTGAATTAACTGGTGAAATAAATGAGCGGCAAGCTTAAGTATAGCGAGACAAAAGAACAAGTTGGACATGAGCAGACTGAATGTGAAGTGAGACAAGTTGGACATGAGCAGACTGAATGTGAAGTGAGACAAGTTGGACATGAGCATGAATGTGAAGTGAGACAAGTTGGACATGAGCAGACTGAATGTGAAGTGAGACAAGTTGGACATGAGCAGACTGAATGTGAAGTGAGACAAGTTGGACATGAGCAGACTGAATGTGAAGTGAGACAAGTTGGACATGAGCAGACTGAATGTGAAGTGAGACAAGTTGGACATGAGCAGACTGGATGTGAAGTGATACAAGTTGGACGTGAGCAGACTGAATGTGAAGTGATACAAGTTGGACATGAGCAGACTGAATGTGCTAGCAGCATTAACGACGTTAGCGCTAATCAGATAGATCAAACCTAATCTAAAGCAGGTTTTCCATTTGTCCAAATTTGATTGTGTAAACAGTTTATATCCTTTGCTCTGTCTGTGTTTATAATAGTCGGTAGATGGCGGGAGATATTTAGAGTTTCTGCAGGTGTATGCGATAGATTATGACCTTGGAATTGACGACCTTGACATAGGAGGCCAACAGTTGATTTTAACACCGGCCTTGAATGCACCTCCCCAAATTTTATCCAGAAAACTAGACTAGGGATAACCTAACACACCTATTTCAGAAGAATCCATTATCAGACATCGGTATACCCATTCATTGCATCCTAGTTTATAGAGAGGCAACATAAGGCTGTACACAGATTCACATCACTCTACGACTTATTTTAATCTGCTGCACCAATATTATAAGACCCCCCACCTAACTCCCCCCCCCCCCAAATCAAAGGCCAAACGTGCAGCATGCGCGGATCAGTTGGTTATCAGATGTACCGCTGGTCATGACCTTGGGTCACATGACCACGAAACTCAGTCAAGGCAGCCGCTGTTAAGTTTTCCCATACAATACAACATTATGTGACCACAGGTAGCGTACGCCGGAGGGGGGGGGGGGGGGCTGCATATATATACATATATATATATATATATATATATATATATATATATATATATATATATATATATATATATATACTCAACACTAACACTCCCGACATGTAGTGATCCCGTACAGTACTTTTGTCGGATCAACACAGACAAGGCCGTTTTGACGGGGATGTTTTGTCACAGCTGGCCATATAAATCGGGTCAGATGACCGCCGGTAGACCGGGTCACTCGGGTCAGATGACCGCTGGTAGACCGGGTCAGGTGACCGCTGGTAGACCGGGTCACTCGGGTCAGATGACCGCTGGTCGGGTAGACGGGTCAGGTGACCGCCGGTAGACCGGGTCAGATGACCGCCGGTAGACAGGGTCAGGTGACCGCTGGTAGACCGGGTCAGATGACCGCTGGTAGACCGGGTCAGGTGACCGCTGGTAGACCGGGTCAGGTGACCGCTGGTAGACGGGTCAGGTGACCGCTGGTCGGGTAGACCGGGTCAGGTGACCGCCGGTAGACGGGTCAGGTGACCGCTGGTAGACCGGGTCAGGTGACCGCTGGTAGACCGGGTCAGATGACCGCCGGTAGACGGGTCAGGTGACCGCCGGTAGACCGGGTCAGATGACCGCCGGTAGACCGGGTCAGATGACCGCCGGTAGACGGGTCAGGTGACCGCTGGTAGACCGGGTCAGGTGACCGCTGGTAGACCGGGTCAGGTGACCGCTGGTAGACCGGGTCAAATGACCGCTGGTAGACCGGGTCAGGTGACCGCTGGTAGACGGGTCAGGTGACCGCTGGTCGGGTAGACGGGTCAGGTGACCGCTGGTAGACGGGTCAGGTGACCGCTGGTCGGGTAGACGGGTCAGGTGACCGCTGATAGACGGGTCAGGTGACCTCTGGTAGACCGGGTCAGGTGACCGCTGGTAGACGGGTCAGGTGACCGCTGGTCGGGTAGACGGGTCAGGTGACCGCTGGTCGGGTAGACGGGTCAGGTGACCGCTGGTAGACCGGGTCAGGTGACCGCTGGTAGACCGGGTCAGGTGACCGCTGGTAGACCGGGTCAGGTGACCGCTGGTAGACCGGGTCAGGTGACCGCTGGTAGACCGGGTCAGGTGACCGCTGGTCGGGTAGACGGGTCAGGTGACCGCTGGTCGGGTAGACGGGTCAGGTGACCGCTGGTCGGGTAGACAGGTCAGGTGACCGCTGGTCGGGTAGACGGGTCAGGTGACCGCTGGTAGACCGGGTCAGGTGACCGCTGGTAGACCGGGTCAGGTGACCGCTGGTAGACCGGGTCAGGTGACCGCTGGTAGACGGGTCAGGTGACCGCTGGTAGACGGGTCAGGTGACCGCTGGTAGACGGGTCAGATGACCGCTGGTAGACGGGTCAGGTGACCGCTGGTCGGGTAGACGGGTCAGGTGACCGCTGGTAGACGGGTCAGGTGACCGCTGGTCGGGTAGACGGGTCAGGTGACCGCTGGTAGACGGGTCAGGTGACCGCTGGTCGGGTAGACGGGTCAGGTGACCGCTGGTCGGGTAGACGGGTCAGGTGACCGCCGGTAGACCGGGTCAGGTGACCGCCGGTAGACCGGGTCAGGTGACCGCCGGTAGACGGGTCAGGTGACCGCTGGTCGGGTAGACGGGTCAGGTGACCGCCGGTAGACGGGTCAGGTGACCGCTGGTCGGGTAGACAGGTCAGGTGACCGCCGGTAGACGGGTCAGGTGACCGCCGGTAGACCGGGTTAGGTAACCTACTGCTCTACTCTGGACTACAGTGATGTAACAACGACAATGAACCGGGTACTGGGTGTTAGTCTTATCAATGAAGACGACAAGCGCTATTGATTATTTACTGGGAGGACCTAGGACTGACCTAGTTGGTTCAACAACAATGTAGTGACGCACTGCGTGTAGCAACTGTCCGAAATTCAACACACTCTAGTTGTAAACATGCTCTGACGTCATAGCTATATTCTAATGGCGAGCACGTATCAATCGACCTTGAACTTGATGTGCATTAAGACACATCACACCATAAGAGTATAGTTTAACAGTGTTGGTACATTATCGAGTCAAACCTGAATGATACAGGTTTACAATGTGTCAGAGTTATGGTTCTTGGTGCGGGTAAACCAGAGTAAAACAAAGATCTAGTGCACAGAGGTCATAGGTTTAAATATAGAACACAGGGGAAATTGGCAGACTCACAACCAGGGTATGTTGTTTACAGGAGGTTGGGGGGGGGGGGTCATGTGGTCAACACACTGATTCATTTGGAGAGTCTACATCATCTTTTGTGGAACTTAATTTAAAACAGTCTCCTGGCAATTAGGCAGCAGGTCTGGTTCTTTAATGGAGGATCATCAAGACAGTGGATATGTATGGGAGAGTCTAGACAGTGGATATGTATGGGAGAGTCTAGACAGTGGATGTGTATGTAAGAGTCTAGACAGTGGATATGTATGGGGAGAGTATAGACCAGGGGTTCCCAACCTTTTTTTACTCTACAGCACATTCTAAAATATCGGTAGGGTGGCGGGCACCACCTATTTTATATCGACAAACTCCTTCCATAGGCGTAGCGACCCTTTCCGTCACCCGGGGACAAAACTTTCGATTTGCACCCCCCCCCCTCAAACTTTCGATTTCCATCCCCTTCAACCTTTCAATAATGTTTATGAAAAAAATTCTGTCTTTGTCGAATAGTGAGAGGCGGGCACATATGAATCGTTCGGCGGGCGCCATGGCGCCCGCAGGCACGGGGTTGGGAACCCCTGGTCAAGACAGTGGATGTGTATGGGGTGAGTCTAGACAGTGGATATGTATGTATAGGGCGAGATGATGGATATATGTGTGTTTATGTGGTAAAAAAATGATGGAGCTGCATGTTTACATGTGGGAGTGTGAGAAGTAGAGTGGGAGTGGGGGGAGGAGTGGGAGTGGGGGGAGGAGTGGGAGTGGGAGAGGAGTGGGAGTGGGGGGAGGAGTGGGAGTGGGAGAGGAGTGGGAGTGGGAGGAGGAGTGGGAGTGGGAGGAGGAGTGGGAGGAGGAGTGGGAGTGGGAGGAGGAGTGGGAGTGGGAGAGGAGTGGGAGTGGGAGGAGGAGTGGGAGTGGGAGGAGGAGTGGGAGTGGGAGAGGAGTGGGAGTGGGAGGAGGAGTGGGAGTGGGAGGAGGAGTGGGAGTGGGAGGAGGAGTGGGAGTGGGAGGAGGAGTGGGAGTGGGAGGAGGAGTGGGAGTGGGAGAGGAGTGGGAGTGGGAGGAGGAGTGGGAGTGGGAGGAGGAGTGGGAGTGGGAGAGGAGTGGGAGTGGGAGGAGGAGTGGGAGTGGGAGGAGGAGTGGGAGTGGGAGGAGGAGTGGGAGTGGGAGGAGGAGTGGGAGGAGGAGTGGGAGGAGGAGTGGGAGAGCTCTAGTGAGAGTGTTAGAGTGTGAGTGGGGGGGGGGGAGTGGGAGAGCTCTAGTGAGAGTGTTAGAGTGTGAGTGGGGGGGGGGGGAGTGGGAGAGCTCTAGTGAGAGTGTTAGAGTGGGAGTGGGGGGGGGAGTGGGAGAGCTCTAGTGAGAGTGTTAGAGTGGGAGTGGGGGGGAGTGGGAGAGCTCTAGTGAGAGTGTTAGAGTGGGAGTGGGAGGAGGAGTGGGAATGGGAGGAGGAGTGGGAATGGGAGGAGGAGTGGGAGAGCTCTAGTGAGAGTGTATTGAGAGGGCGAGCTATATGAAAGTGTCAAATAAACCAACCTTGGAACCTTGTACTCTGTGAGAGTGTTAGAGAGGGCAAGCTATAGTGTCAAGTAAACCAACCTTGGAACCTTGTACTCTGTGAGAGTGTTAGAGAGGGCAAGCTATAGTGTCAAGTAAACCCACCTTGGAACCTTGTACTCTGTGAGAGTGTTAGAGAGGGCAAGCTATAGTGTCAAGTAAACCAACCTTGGAACCTTGTACTCTGACATCCACAAGAGATCCATGTTGCAAGCCAGCACTGGTATATGTGGGTAGGGTATATCAGGAACATCATCACAAGGCTTGCCATTGGTCAACAAAACATCTATAATTAGCTGCAGGGGGGTTTCCCATCTCACTGGCTCACCAAACAAAATCACAGCTGAAACAGAGAACAACACATAACATTAATGTAATAGAATACATTTTGTTGGTGTATACAACAACACATAACCACAATGTAATAGAATACATTTGTTGGTGTATACAACAACACATAACATTAATGTAATAGAATACATTTTGTTGGTGTATACAACAACACATAACCACAATGTAATAGAATACATTTGTTGGTGTATACAACAACACATAACATTAATGTAATAGAATACATTTTGTTGGTGTATACAACAACACACAACCACAATGTAATAGAATACATTTTATTGGTGTAGCCTGCCTATCTGGACAGGAAGGTGTTTTAATATAGGCCTACAACCTGGGGCATACAACATTCAAATCTGGGGCATGTGTTATTAACAACACACTACACACTAAACAGTCTGGGGCATGTGTCATTAACAACACACTACACACTAAACAGTCTGGGGCATGTGTCATTAACAACACACTACACACTAAACAGTCTGGGGCATGTGTCATTAACAACACACTACACACTAAACAGTCTGGGGCATGTGTCATTAACAACACACTTCACACTAAACAGTCTGGGGCATGTGTCATTAACAACACACTACACACTAAACAGTCTGGGGCATGTGTCATTAACAACACACTACACACTAAACAGTCTGGGGCATGTGTCATTAACAACACAATATGCACTAAACAGTCTGGTGCATGTGTCATTAACAACACAATATGCACTAAACAGTCTGGGGCATGTGTCATTAACAACACAATATGCACTAAACAGTCTGGGGCATGTGTCATTAACAACACAATATGCACTAAACAGTCTGGGGCATGTGTCATTAACAACACAATATGCACTAAACAGTCTGGGGCATGTGTCATTAACAACACAATATGCACTAAACAGTCTGGGGCATGTGTCATTAACAACACAATATGCACTAAACAGTCTGGGGCATGTGTCATTAACAACACACTTCACACTAAACAGTCTGGGGCATGTGTCATTAACAACACAATATGCACTAAACAGTCTGGGGGCATGTGTCAGTATTAAAAATATTTTTTAAAATTCTTACCTTCTAATCTTGGGAAATATTGCTCAAAAGCACAAATCTGTTGAGAAATATTTATATTAGACTTTTCTACAAATTATGTAAGAAGCAGCACAAAAAACAACACTGTTCACACTGTACCACATTCTACCTAATGAAAGAGTTGCGAATAATTTTTTACAAGAGCTGCTATCAGATTTACTGTCCATTAAACTACAGTTGTATTTTATTCTGGCACCAACAGATGACTTTCTGACTGGCGTCTGCACAATGAAACCCAACCCCATTGATGGCAATAAACCCAACCCCATTGATGGCAATAAACCCAACCCTATTGAAAGTAGTCTGAGAAAGCAGCATATTTTAAACCACATTTTAGTGATTTAAGTAAATAGAAAGTTTCTCCTGTGTCACAGTGTTGCATCACACGCACCAAATCTTACAAAAACCAACAACTGCTTAAAGCATGCAGAAAAAATGTTGAGCAACTGACCGCTGGTTGCATCACACCACCAAATCTCACAAAACTAACAACTGCTTAAAGCATGCAGAAAAAATGTTGAGCAACTGACCGCTGGTTGCATCACACGCACCAAATCTTACAAAAACCAACAACTGCTTAAAGCATGCAGAAAAAATGTTGAGCAACTGACCACTGGTTGCATCACACCACCAAATCTCACAAAACTATCAACTGCTTAAAGCATGCAGAAAAAATGTTGAGCAACTGACCACTGGTTGCATTACACCACCAAATCTCACAAAACCAACAAGTGCTTAAAGCATGCAGAAAAAATGTTGAGCAACTGACCGCTGGTTGCATCACACCACCAAATCTCACAAAAACCAACAAGTGCTTAAAGCATGCAGAAAAAATGTTGAGCAACTGACCGCTGGTTGCATCACACCACCAAATCTCACAAAAACCAACAAGTGCTTAAAGCATGCAGAAAAAATGTTGAGCAACTGACCGCTGGTTGCATCACACCACCAAATCTCACAAAACCAACAACAGCTTAAAGCATGCAGAAAAAATGTTGAGCAACTGACCGCTGGTTGCATCACACCACCAAATCTCACAAAAACCAACAAGTGCTTAAAGCATGCAGAAAAAATGTTGAGCAACTGACCGCTGGTTGCATCACACCACCAAATCTCACAAAAACCAACAAGTGCTTAAAGCATGCAGAAAAAATGTTGAGCAACTGACCGCTGGTTGCATCACACCACCAAATCTCACAAAACCAACAACAGCTTAAAGCATGCAGAAAAAATGTTGAGCAACTGACCGCTGGTTGCATCACATACACCAAATCTCACAAAACCAACAACTGCTTAAAGCATGCAGAAAAAATGTTGAGCAACTGACCGCTGGTTGCATCACACCACCAAATCTCACAAAACCAACAACTGCTTAAAGCATGCAGAAAAAATGTTGAGCAACTGACCGCTGGTTGAATCACACCACCAAATCTCACAAAACCAACAACTGCTTAAAGCATGCAGAAAAAATGTTGAGCAACTGACCGCTGGTTGCATCACACCAACAAATCTCACAAAACCAACAACAGCTTAAAGCATGCAGAAAAAATGTTGAGCAACTGACCGCTGGTTGCATCACACCACCAAATCTCACAAAAACCAACAACTGCTTAAAGCATGCAGAAAAAATGTTGAGCAATTGACCACTGGTTGCATCACACCACCAAATCTCACAAAACCAACAACTGCTTAAAGCATGCAGAAAAAATGTTGAGCAACTGACCGCTGGTTGAATCACACCACCAAATCTCACAAAACCAACAACTGCTTAAAGCATGCAGAAAAAATGTTGAGCAACTGACCGCTGGTTGCATCACACCACCAAATCTCACAAAAACCAACAAGTGCTTAAAGCATGCAGAAAAAATGTTGAGCAACTGACCGCTGGTTGCATCACACCACCAAATCTCACAAAAACCAACAAGTGCTTAAAGCATGCAGAAAAAATGTTGAGCAACTGACCGCTGGTTGCATCACACCACCAAATCTCACAAAACCAACAACAGCTTAAAGCATGCAGAAAAAATGTTGAGCAACTGACCGCTGGTTGCATCACACCACCAAATCTCACAAAAACCAACAAGTGCTTAAAGCATGCAGAAAAAATGTTGAGCAACTGACCGCTGGTTGCATCACACCACCAAATCTCACAAAAACCAACAAGTGCTTAAAGCATGCAGAAAAAATGTTGAGCAACTGACCGCTGGTTGCATCACACCACCAAATCTCACAAAACCAACAACAGCTTAAAGCATGCAGAAAAAATGTTGAGCAACTGACCGCTGGTTGCATCACATACACCAAATCTCACAAAACCAACAACTGCTTAAAGCATGCAGAAAAAATGTTGAGCAACTGACCGCTGGTTGCATCACACCACCAAATCTCACAAAACCAACAACTGCTTAAAGCATGCAGAAAAAATGTTGAGCAACTGACCGCTGGTTGAATCACACCACCAAATCTCACAAAACCAACAACTGCTTAAAGCATGCAGAAAAAATGTTGAGCAACTGACCGCTGGTTGCATCACACCAACAAATCTCACAAAACCAACAACAGCTTAAAGCATGCAGAAAAAATGTTGAGCAACTGACCGCTGGTTGCATCACACCACCAAATCTCACAAAAACCAACAACTGCTTAAAGCATGCAGAAAAAATGTTGAGCAATTGACCACTGGTTGCATCACACCACCAAATCTCACAAAACCAACAACTGCTTAAAGCATGCAGAAAAAATGTTGAGCAACTGACCGCTGGTTGAATCACACCACCAAATCTCACAAAACCAACAACTGCTTAAAGCATGCAGAAAAAATGTTGAGCAACTGACCGCTGGTTGCATCACACCACCAAATCTCACAAAAACCAACAAGTGCTTAAAGCATGCAGAAAAAATGTTGAGCAACTGACCGCTGGTTGCATCACACCACCAAATCTCACAAAACCAACAACTGCTTAAAGCATGCAGAAAAAATGTTGAGCAACTGACCGCTGGTTGCATCACACCACCAAATCTCACAAAACCAACAACTGCTTAAAGCATGCAGAAAAAAAGTTGAGCAACTGACCGCTGGTTGCATCACACCACCGAATCTCACAAAAACCAACAACAGCTTAAAGCATGCAGAAAAAATGTTGAGCAACTGACCACTGGTTGCATCACACCACCAAATCTCACAAAACCAACAACTGCTTAAAGCATGCAGAAAAAATGTTGAGCAACTGACCGCTGGTTGCATCACACCACCAAATCTCACAAAACCAACAACTGCTTAAAGCATGCAGAAAAAATGTTGAGCAACTGACCGCTGGTTGCATCACACCACCAAATCTCACAAAACCAACAACTGCTTAAAGCATGCAGAAAAAATGTTGAGCAACTGACCACTGGTTGCATCACACCACCAAATCTCACAAAACCAACAACTGCTTAAAGCATGCAGAAAAAATGTTGAGCAACCTCAGGCTGGTTGCATCACACCACCAAATCTCACAAAAATCAACAACAGCTTAAAGCATGCAGAAAAAATGTTGAGCAACTGACCGCTGGTTGCATCGCACCACCAAATCTCACAAAACCAACAACTGCTTAAAGCATGCAGAAAAAATGTTGAGCAACTGACCACTGGTTGCATCACATGCACCAAATCTCACAAAACCAACAGCTGCTTAAAGCATGCAGAAAAAATGTTGAGCAACTGACCACTGGTTGCATCACACCACCAAATCTCACAAAAACCAACAACTGCTTAAAGCATGCAGAAAAAATGTTGACAACTGACCGCTGGTTGCATCACACCACCAACTGCTTAAAGCATGCAGAAAAAATGTTGAGCAACTGACCGCTGGTTGCATCACACCACCAAATCTCACAAAAACCAACAGAAAAAATGTTGAGCAACTGACCGCAGGTTTCCTGCGTTGATGATCCATCTTATCCAGCTCTGGGAACATGTGGGAGAGTTCCTCAACAGTGGTCACATGGGTGAATCCGATGTTCTGGGCGATCTCCTTCACTGGACCCTGTCCATTCACCAGGACATGCTTGTCGTGAAACTGGCGAAACATCTTGAGAGGGCTGTGAGACATGACCACCTGGTCCTCTGTCACCTGCAGCAAGTTTACATTGGGGGGGGGGGGGGGGGGGGGGGGGTAGAGCAATGGTTTGGTTTTGTGGTGGCATGGTGATAACATATGATATGGTGATTACATACGACAAAACATTATGTGCTAAAGGTTAAACTAATGTTAGCCAGTGCTAGTAAAAATAGTAAAGCTGGGTGTTGATTTAAACTCATGTCAATCAGTGTTAAGTTGTGTAAATAGTGAGAGAGGAAACTGACCTCTATACCCAGCCATCAAATGTCAACCAGTGTTTAGATGTGTAAATAGTGAGAGAAGAAACTGACCTCTATACCCAGCGTACTAATGTCATCCAGTGTTTAGATGTGTAAATAGTGAGAGAGGACCTCTATACCCAGCCATCAAATGTCAACCAGTGTTTAGATGTGTAAATAGTGAGAGAGGATACCCAGCCATCAAATGTCAACCAGTGTTTAGATGTGTAAATAGTGAGAGAGGACCTCTATACCCAGCCATTAAATGTCAACCAGTGTTTAGATGTGTAAATAGTGAGAGAGGATACCCAGCCATCAAATGTCAACCAGTGTTTAGATGTGTAAATAGTGAGAGAGGATACCCAGCCATCAAATGTCAACCAGTGTTTAGATGTGTAAATAGCAAGAGAAGAAACTGACCTCTATACCCAGCCATCAATGTCAACCAGTGTTTAGATGTGTAAATAGTGAGAGGAAACTGACCTCTATACCTAGCCATCTAATGTCAACCAGTGTTTAGATGTGTAAATAGTGAGAGGAAACTGAACTTTATACCCAGCGTACTAATGTCATCCAGTGTTTAGATGTGTAAATAGTGAGAAAGTAAACTGACCTCTATACCCAGCCATCAAATGTCAACCAGTGTTTAGATGTGTAAATAGTGAGAGAGGACCTCTATACCCAGCCATCAAATGTCAACCAGTGTTTAGATGTGTAAATAGCAAAAGAAGAAACTGAGTTCTATACCCAGCCAACTCATGTCAACCAGTGTTTAGATGTGTAAATAGTGAGAGAAGAAACTGACCTCTATACCCAGCGTACTAATTTCAACCAGTGTTTAGATGTGTAAATAGCGAGAGAAGGAACTGACCTCTATTCCCAGCCATCTATGTCAACCTGTGTTTAGATGTGTAAATAGTGAGAGGAAACTGACCTCTATACCCAGCCATCAAAGGTCAACCAGTGTTTAGATGTGTAAATAGCGAGAGAAGGAACTGACCTCTATTCCCAGCCATCTATGTCAACCAGTGTTTAGATGTGTAAATAGTGAGAGGAAACTGACCTCTATACCCAGCCATCAAAGGTCAACCAGTGTTTAGATGTGTAAATAGTGAGAGGAAACTGACCTCTATACCCAGCGTACTAATGTCAACCAGTGTTTAGATGTGTAAATAGTGAGAAAGGAAACTGACCTCTATACCCAGCCATTCTGTTAGCTGCTGGGCCTTCCGATGCCTTAAAGCATTGCCTGCATTTGTAACGAAAAGTGTTGGAACTTTGAACTTTTTATTTTCTGTCAAAAGCTCAAAAGCATCTTTGGCCAATGGTAGTGGCTTCTTGCCTCTGACAATAACACCATCAATGTCAAATAAAAAACCAAACTGGCACTTGTTGGATAAAGCTGTCTGAAATAAATTATTGCAATTGTCCATTACACCATTAACATATTGACGACTAACCACATTGCTACTTTAAAATGTTACAAACATAGAACTATAGAAGAGGTTCATATTCCAAGTGTCATATTTTAAATGACCAATACACAAGACTCACATAGAAAGTTTCTTATTTTTGTCAAGACTTTAGTTGATTTATAACTAAAGACTACAAACTTCAAATTATGAATAAATCATATGCTATCATTAATTCACACTATTTAGACATGATGCTTTACTGGTCTGGTTACTCTTAACTTATGTAGGGGACAAAATCAAATGGAGGATTAAACAAAAAAATTGACATTTTAAAAGTAAATTATCTCCCCTAAACTTTCTTGAATATTCTTATATAACACTATGGGGATGGCAACTCTTGATATAAACATTCTTTTTAATCAATTTTTACATACTACAGAGATTACTCAAAATTTGACAGAAAACAGAATTAGATCTTTTACTTATTATATTAGATGTGAAATTTCATCTATCTATCAGAAACAGTACTCAAGTTACTAGGCTGTTGAAAGATTGAAAGTAGAATAAGTTCTACTTCGGGTTACCGGAAATTGCTGAAAAGTTGATACAGAACTTCAAGTTTGATGTAATATTTATATATGAAGTTTCATCACCCTAGCTGTAATGGTTCTCAAATTATCATGTTCACAGATATACTTACACAGAAAAGATTGCAAAATTAAGTTTTTCCGACTCGAGGTCTAAAACGTCGAGATTTGTGAAAATATCTTTTCGATTTTTTGCAAGTGGGTTTTATTTTATTTTAGGGCTAAACAAAAAGTATAAATTAATACTTCTAAAAACTACAAATTTTTGTTTTTTCTTTCATTGCTTAGGCTTATTACTTAACACTGTTGTGTTAGGCTTATTTATTAAAATTTTATATATGGCCTAATGGGGTGTTAGACAAATAGGGCCTACATGTGTCTGAAAATGTCAAAATAACAGAATCGTGTAAAAAAGGGGGTGTACTGTGACTAGTTGTTATCTGAAATAAGCCCAAAAGTTAAATAGGCCTAATAATATTATAAGAATATTACATTTTATAAAGCAACTTTTAAATAAATAAGTACATGTCTAGATCTAGATCTAGCTAGTCTAGGAAAGTAGAATCTAGATCTACTAATTTATATTTTATAGGTACTAGTCTCTTGATCTAAGTCTACATCAAACTAATAATATTAAATACACGTAAGTACATCTAGGCCTAAAATTAATGTAATTAAAGTAAAGTTCAAGTTAAAGGCCTACAAAACTACAATGACTGAATAAATAACAATTTCAATAATAATTTAAATTTATTAATAACAATGTCAACAAGAAGTAGGCCCTAACGTTTGGATTATTTGAATTGATTGTTGGGGATTTTAACATTTTGATAATGGGAAAATACTAAAATACTGTTACTTGGTCCACAAATCAATAGGCTACAAGTACAAGTAGGCCTAAATAATATAATAGTCTAGTATTCTAGATCTAATCTAGAATACTTCTCTATCTTGGTACACTGGGAAGTCTAACGTCTAGACCTAAACAGTACATTATAAACAATCCAGGGAGAAAAAGTACCTAAAAGTAGGTCATAGCAGACTGACACAAATTTCGAAAAATGATGAAACTGCTTGAAAATAAACAATAGAGTATACCGATCTCGACCTAGTGATAGTTAAAAATAATAAAAACACATTAAAAACTCACATTAGAGTGAAAACTTCTAAAAGTTTGTGAAGAGTCTTTAAGTAACCTTAGAAAACGAATAAGGCAAAGCTGTCGGCTATGGCTGGGCGCTTGTAGCGCTCGCCGACACGCCATTTTGTCAGCTGTTCCTGAATCCTGTATAACCTTGAAGAAACTGAGAGGTGTGTTTCCCATAACCAATCGTTGCGGAATATTTATGGTGTGACGTCAAGGCACCCACATATTGAATGTACAACTATCTTCTTCGACTTTTAATTATATTCTCATTTTTTCATGGGTTTAAATATTAGTTTTTTTTAAACCCCCATGATAAGTCAAAATGGTATTATGAACCTGTATAATATAGATCTAGATCTATCTATAGGCCTATAGGCCTAATGTTACGGCTAATAAGTAACAAAGCGCCAATCGCCTACATAAATATCTAGATAGTTTATGCTTGAATAAAATTGGCTCTAACGCAAAATTAACAATTCCAAGTATAATGTCAGAACAAATTCTGCACTTGCCTACGCCATTACTAATTTGTTGTTAGGAAAAAACTAATTATTGGTCGTCCATAAATAACAACAACCCAGTGGCGTAGCTAGGATTTTTGGGCCCCTATGCAAAAAAGTGTTAGTGGGCCCCTCAGAGTCGTAGCGACGCTTCCCGGCGACCGGGGACAAACTTTCGATTTGCACCCCCCCCAGACTTTCAATTTGCACCCCCCCAGACTTTCAATTTGCACCCCCCCCCTTCAAACTTTCGAAAAAGGGCCCCTATTTGCCTTGGGCCCCTATGCCTTGCTTACGCTAGCTTTACGGTAGCTACGCCACTGCAACACCCCCCCCCCCCCCCCCCCCGAAAAAAAGTCTGGAAGAAACACTGATCATGATGGTTATTTTGTGCAATTTAAAAGGTATTTTTACATTCCCTTAAGATTTTTTAAAAATGTATTAGAATTAATTAAAGATTCTAACATACAAACGAATTTGCTAATTTAGGCTTATTTGAATGAAATGGTAATCTGGGATTCTAGTTGTAAAGGGAAACAACCAAATAAATATGTTCAACAAAATCAGTCTAGTTTGATAGTATCCCTTATAGAAGAGGAATGGCTAAATTTTCAAAATTTTCTTAGAATAATAAAAACGGTGTGGTGTGACGTTGGGGGTCATCTATAAATGACGTCACGCTTTTTTGGACGATTTTTACCTCCCCCTCCCCCCGTCACACGTCGTCACAAAAAGCCAGACCTCCCCCCCCCCCAAAATGACGTCACACCTCAGCCTACAACCCCCCTCAAAACTGCAGTTTAATTTTTTTTTAAACATAGATATTTTTCCAAAATCTTGTCTGAACTCAGTCAAAATAGAGTATTTTAATCAATTCTTATTACAATTTATTAAAACAGTTATCTAAAACGCAAGATAACGTCTAAAATTCGTTTTCTAACATTGCTTTTTGATAATGCAAAAGTGCGACGTCGCACCATCTGAACCCCCCCCCCTCATCACACACCGTCACAAAATTACGGACCCCCTCCCCCCTACGAGTGTGACGTCATTTAAGGACGACCCCTTGGAGGGGAGAGAGGGGGGATATAGTGTGGAAGACAAGATCTAATGAAAATGTTCATAATTCATTGTTTCTAAAAAAACAAGTTAATAAAAAGTCTAGTGACAATTTAAGCGCAATTTCCTTATGTTATCCATAACAATTTTTATTTTTTATTTTTTAATTTTTTGTATATATCATCCTATAAATATAAACTCCTATACGATGCTCAGTTTAAATCATCCTAGGCCTACACGATGCTCAGTTTAAATGTTCTTAATTAATTTTTTGTGACCGAACGAAAGGATATTTTTGAAAACTTTCTTCGGCAATATTGTTCTAAATTATGGCAGGAATCGATTGGTAAATGTTTCAGGTCGCTAAGTGGTCTGGCTGCCGAGATATGGAGCAAAAACTGCTTTTGTTCGAGGTTTTTTGGCTTTTCCGGGAAATCCAGGAAGGAATTCCGGGAATTTTTTTGGCCTATGTTCATCCTCGGAACTTGCTTAACATATTTGCTTTGGAACTAGTCCTCGATATTGCTTCGTTGAGGAGGAGAGACGACTTAAAGGCTGCGGACACACATCCATCCAGAAATGACGAGTTAATAATCGCGATCCCAGTATGGAAATTGCGCTAAAAACTTACAGTAATAATAAGGGGGAAATTTGTTAATTTGGGTATCGTGGAGCTTGTAATAGATTGAGTTAATTGTGAGGTCAAGGGAACTCACTCTCTGTATTAGTATTATATTTATATTGTTATCTTGAGTGATGTCCCTTACATGTTGTTATCTATAAATAGTTCTCTCTCGCCATTTCTCTCCCTCTCTTGGCATGATGGCGTCTGTACATAATAAAGACTGTTAACAACCAACGCGGCTTCTCGTCAGTCATTACAATCCACGTCATTTGGCGACGAAGGATAAACATCTACTAGAAAGAGCACCTACTTACGCAAAAAAGAGGTTTGCTAGAGCTTATTAGCTAATTATTTCTAGAATTATGGCGCTGTATGGCCAAATAAAACAATTTGATGCGAATGATGAAATCATTCAAGATTACCTAGAGAGGTTAAGCTTTTACCTAGAAGCAAACAACGTGACGATAGAAGCCAAAAAGAGAGCTGTTTTGTTAACAGTCATAGGGCCTCAACAATTTAGGCTACTAAAAGACTTATGCGCACCAGCTAGTCTAACTACCAAGAGCTTTAACGAGCTGAGCAAATTGCTAACAGACCACCATGCGCCTACCCCATCAAAGTTTTTATGTAGAGCTAGATTTGACAGTAGGACTCGTCAACCAAACGAGTCAATATCAGAATATGTTGCTGCTTTACGTCATTTAAGTAGATTCTGTGAATTTGGAGAAACGCTGTCTGACAGACTATGTGAAAAGTTTGTGACAGGTGTAAACAGCCCTGATATTCAAAGAAAGTTGCTGCTCGAGTCAGATCTAAAATTGGAAAAAGCAATACAACTTGCAATGTCATTCCAGCAGTCATCAGATGAGGCGAGATCTTTAGCACCTTCAGAGATCCATGCAGTAAACAGCAGGTTAGTCAATAAACATCAACCCCAACAGAGCATTCCAACTTATGCTAAACACCCTGCTCGTTCAAATCCTAGATCTAAATCTAGTAATAATTATCAAAAATGTCATCGATGCAAAGGTCCCCATGCATCTCATCGGTGCAAGTTCAAGTCTGCAACTTGTTATAAGTGCAGTAAGCAAGGTCACATTGCTAAGGCCTGCTTTGCAAAGTCTTCGTCTGTTGCTAAATCTAGCCAGTCAAGACAGTACCGCAACCAAAGGCAGCACTATGTTAACTCTCACCAAGACTACCTAACCCAACCAATGAACCACTCTACCTGTGAAAATGCTCAAACTGATTCGCAGCCGGATTTCAACCTGTTCTCTGTTAAATCAATAAGTCATGCTCCCATCAATGTACAAGTTAATATCAACGGTAAGAGCATCAGCTTCCAACTTGACACTGGAGCATCTCTAACAGTCATAACAAAGAAAGATTTTGACGCTGTCATAGGAGGATCAGTGCCTCTACAGCCATGTCACAAGTGTCTAACAACATACACTGGTGACAATGTTCCGGTAATAGGAGAGTGTATGGTTCATGTAAGTTATAATGGTCAAAGTGTTAAACTTCCTCTTCTTGTGGTTGAAGGAAATGGACCGCCATTACTAGGTAGGAACTGGTTAAGTGATCTTAAGTTAAATTGGGAGAGTATTTGTTCATTGAAGAATGTAAAAGAATCTAGTCTTACTTCACTAGATAAAGTTATATCTGAAAATAAATGTGTTTTTGGTAATTCAGGTTTACTAAATGATAGAACAGTGAAGTTAAGCATTAAAGATACAAATCCAAGATACTGCAAAGCTAGAGTTCCACCTTATGCAATGAGGAATAAAATTGAAGATGAGCTAAGTAGATTGGAATCTAATGGCATTATAAAGAAGGTAGACTATTCCGATTGGGCGACACCCATTGTGCCAGTGTTAAAGAAGGATGGTTCTATAAGAATTTGTGGAGATTATAAAACTACACTGAATAAGCAAATAGAGCTAAATAGGTACCCTATTCCTAACATTGAGGAAATTTCTTTGAATTTGGCAGGAGGAGACAAATTCACTGAATTAGACTTTAGTCATGCTTACACTCAACTAGAACTGCATCCAGATTCAAAAGTCTATACGACAATAAACACACATAAAGGACTCTACCAATATGAAAGACTATGTTTTGGCATATCATCCAGCCCTGAAATTTTCCAAGCTGTCATGGACAGTATTTTTAAGGATATTCCAAATGTTTGTGTGTACTTTGACAATGTGTACATAACTGGTAAGAATGACACTGAACATCTTAAAACACTTGATAAAGTATTAAAAATTGTTGGTGAAAAAGGTTTAAAGATAAACAAAGATAAATGTCAATTCATGTTGACAGAAATTAGTTTTCTTGGTTATATATTGAGCAAGCAAGGCATCAGACCTCAACCTGAGAAAACAAAAGCCATTAAAGAAGCACCCAAACCTGAAAATACCCAACAACTAAGAGCTTTTTTGGGCTTGATAAATTACTATGCAAAGTTCATAGGGAATCTGTCTGGTAAACTATCACCACTGTACAAGCTGCTACAGAAAAATGCAACTTGGCACTGGGGTAAACAACAAGAAGCTGCTTTTAATACAGCAAAAGAGGCTTTGTCTGCTGACACCTTACTAACTCACTATGACCCAGGGAAAAGACTTGTATTGACATGTGATGCTTCACCAGATGGTGTAGGAGCAGTCTTGTCCCACATGGATGAGAAGGGTGACAGACCCATTGCTTTTGCCAGTAGATCTTTGAACCAGGCTGAGAAAAATTATTCTCAGTTAGATAGGGAAGGCTTAGGCATCATTTTTGGTGTTAAGAAATTTCATAAATTTCTGTTTGGTAGGAAGTTCACCATCTTTACAGATCATAAACCATTGCTAGGTTTATTTGGAGAAAACAAAACCCTACCTGAGCATGCCTCACCAAGAATTCAAAGATGGGCTATCACACTAACTGCATACAATTATGAATTGAAATACAAACCTGGATCTGAGAATAGTGCAGATAGTCTTAGTAGATTACCTTTAAAAAACCAAAGCCTGAGCTATGTACCAGAAGATGTATTTGTTCTCTTCACTATCATGGATAACTCCAATATAAATGTGAATGATATTAAGAGAGAAACACAAAAAGATGAGTGCTTAATAAAAGTATATGAGTACTGTAAGAATGGTTGGCCTGAAAAGTCTGTGAATGATGACTTAAGGTCATATTAAATAAGAAATAAAAACCTTTGTGAAGATAATATAAAAGATGGAGAAGATGCAGTCCATTATCAGTCAGAGCTACCTAAACAAAGTATTTGTAACTTAATAAATGATTATGGTGATATGGCAATTTCAAATGTTTTAAAGAGAATACATTAGTAAGAAGGAATGTGATCATCAAACAACTTTGCTAACATCATTAGCACTTACAGAAACTAAAAGGGAAACATCAAAAGAAGAAAAAGATTTTTGCCATTTAATACACCCACTTCAAATACTGGATCACAGTTGCAAAGTGATATGGTCCAGAATATTACTCATAAACAGTATTTTTAGTTACCAGGAAAGCACTATCAGATTACCTGAGGAAATTGATCAATCAAAGAAATCTATGTCAGTCAAGGATCTGAATAACAGCATAATACTTTCAGATGCCAATTCAAAAATAGTTCCATTAAATCATGACAAAACATCCATTGAAGAGAATTTGGTGTTAATGAGTATGTGTATTTAAGAAACTATGGGAGAAAGGAAAAATGGATACCAGGTCAAATTGTTCAATGTACAGGACCTGTGCCTTATAAAGTTAAAAATAACTTGTGCAGATAATAAGTGTGAATCTGTCAATCCCACCAAGTCTGATCAGTTCACACCAACTCAGTTTGTTCCACAACCAAGTTCTGTTGATATGAGTGAACCAAGTTGTCTGGAGTCAGAAAATGTAAATTCTGGAGTTAATGATTTAAATCCTAGACCTCCTGAGATAGAGAATCCAGATGGTCAGAATCTTGAGTCACCAAATCAGAAGCCACTGAGAAGGTCAAGCAGGACAATCAAAGTCCCAAATAAGTTAGACCTATGATTCTAAAGGTCAAGAGGACTTTGACATTATTGTTTTGTATCTTGATTATGTTGTGGCATATTGTGCATTGTTTGTAAGGATGTAATCTACCATAGTGTTCATGTTACAATATTATTGGTGATTTTAGGATACTATCAATTGTTCTATTGAGAGATGTGTTATTGTGTTCTAAGGGTAAAGGGATGTAATAGATTGAGTTAATTGTGAGGTCAAGGGAACTCACTCTCTGTATTAGTATTATATTTATATTGTTATCTTGAGTGATGTCCCTTACATGTTGTTATCTATAAATAGTTCTCTCTCGCCATTTCTCTCCCTCTCTTGGCATGATGGCGTCTGTACATAATAAAGACTGTTAACAACCAACGCGGCTTCTCGTCAGTCATTACAATCCACGTCAGAGCTCAGTGTTCCCTCCATACATTTTTCTCCGGGGGGGGGGGAGGTGTGGGAGCGGACACTGAGTGATAAATACAGAACATTGTGGAGGCAGGGGGTGAGAACTCACGCCGGTAAAGGCAAATTAAGAGCCGACGTTGGAAGCAAATGTAGCTAGCTCCATATATATATATATATATATATATATATATATATATATATATATATATATATATATATATATATATAATTATATATATATATCAGAGGCGAAGCGAGGGGCGGGGCGGGGGTGCGGACCGCACCGGGTGAAACCATTTAGGGGGGTGGCACCAAGGCAGAAAATAGCTAAATATATAGAGAAAAACTTGAGGGGGGTGAAAAATCGAAAGTTTGAGGGGGGGGGGGTGCAAATCGAAAATTTGAAAGTTTGTCCCCGGGAAGGGTTTCTACGCCTCTGGGGGTGACACCGTTAAGTGCCGCACCGGGTGACACCCGACCTCGCTACGCCTCTGATATATATATATATATATATATATATATATATTAGTCTTTATATTAATAGCAGCTGTATATACATAGTATATAATGATTCAGTTTTAATACAGCACTGACATATGCACAAGCCATATACACAAACTCAAATAACACTCGGGAATTCCCGTTATCTAATTTTAAATACGTTTTTTCCACTAGGTAAAATTCGGGGAGTTCCATTTCACACTGGACAGGAACAATTTTGATTAAAAAGTGTTAAAGATTTAAGAATTGTTGAAACTCCGTGACACGGCAGTCCTCTACACTATAAAGAGTGAGTCACAGACTCTATGGTCAACTTGGTAAAAAAAACTTAAGTTTTGCAATATTATTTACTAGCCTATAGAATAGATATCTAGATCTAGATCTACTTGTCTTTAGTAACTCTTTAGGTCTTTAGGACGTCTTTAGGTACTAGTCTTTAGGCCTTTACTGCCCGGGCCTTAGGTAGTTCTTTGAAAAATTGAATGAAAGGTTAGCTTAAATTTTCAGATCTTTTTACTAAATTTCACTTTTTTGGCGAACACTAGATTTCCTACCTTCACTATCTTAGTTTTAGATCTAGATCTAGTATAAATCTATCTATGACTATGCTAAGACAGACAAGACAACTAATATTTTATTATTTTATTTTCACCAGTGCCAGTAGGACTACTTTTAAAGTGGTAGACCAAGATATTATTTTTGTATTAAGTAGGCCCCTATACATTACATAATGCAATGGCGTCGCGACATGGGGGCGAGGAGTGTGGACCGCACTGGGTGACACCATGTAGGGGGTGACACCAAGACAAAAAAATTGCAAAATATAATATACAGCCTATAGTTTAATGCTTAATTAATAATTTAATAGTCTAATAAATACAAACTGACAAATCCCGCCAAGGGTGGGGATAAGTGACACCATGACGTAAACTGCTAACTATAGACTATAGAGAAAACAATGTATACATCCAACTGTATTAATAACTTACTCTAGATACACATTGTTATTGTAAACTGTACACACTAAAAAGCTATCACCCATAGGTGACACCAACTGCAAAATTTACCGAGGAAAAAATGTTTCGTTGAATCTTTTTAGTTACTGTAAATTAAATGACCAGGGTGGAAGTGTCACCATATCTAATACTTTACTATGAAAGTGTTGCTTAATAGGCATATATATATATATATATATATATATATATATATATATATATATATACTTTTTATTTGGTGGGGGAGGGGGTGACACCATGAGGTTCAGCACAGGGTGGCACCCAACCTAGCAACGCCACTGCTATAACGTTAATAAACTTAATATTTTCAATAACATAACTCTTTTTTTTTGTCATTAGTTTATATTTTAAACAGACTAAAGTCGGAACATGGCAACAGATCCATCTCAAAAGCTAGAGTACAGTTCACATTTAAGGAGAGCAATAAGTGATACTTTTATTAATTTTATCATTCCAAACAATGTGATCCATATAATTCATCGATACAACTTAAGTGTTCTAACAGAGAGGGATATTGTAAGTAGATAATTGTGACAAAAATATTGTAAGTAGATAATTGTGACAAAAATATTGTAAGTAGATAACTGTGACAAAAATATAGTAGTAAGTAGATAATTGTGACAAAAATATTGTAAGTAGATAATTGTGACAAAAATATTGTAAGTAGATAATTGTAACAAAATTATTGTAAGTAAGTAGATAATTGTGACAAAAATATAGTAAGTAGATAATTGTGACAAAAATATTTATCCTGAATGGTTTTACTTTTAAAAATGACGGTCAAAAATATTGTGTTTAGTATATAAATCTAGGTCTAAATATGGAAGCTGATGTCAAATAAATATTTTAACCAGGAAAATGTCAGGTCTTGTGAACACAACAGAGGACCAAAGGATGCTAATGAGCTTCTCTTAGAGCGTCTGCACAAATATGATGGATGGTTTGAATGTTTGATTAAAGTTTTACGTGATCCTGATGTGAAGCTTCCTCATGTAGCTGAAGCAATGTTGGAGACAAAAAGTAATGTCTACACTCTTATACTCACTACTTTATAGGTCATATGTATAGTAGTCCCACAATCATTTTACTAAATAAAATAAAGGCAAACACATATAAATATATATTATATCCTCATTTAATAAATAAAAGATTGGGTGAACTGGGACAAAACTGTTGGTTTTAGACTGGGGTTAAAGGTCAGAACTACAGCCAGCATCCCTGAGCCACACAAAGCTTACATAATCAACTCATATCAAGACTTTAAAAAATAATTGTTTAACAGACTAATGTGTATATATATATATATTATATATATATATATATATATATATATATATATATATATATATATATATATATATATATATATATATATATATATATATATATATATATATATAGGCCTATATTGCATTAGTTTTGGAGAAAAAAACGATTTTTTTTTCAGAAAATTTGGATCAAACTCTTGCTAAGAAAGGAATAGAAGTTAGTTGAAATTTGTTTTAATAACATCTGTAGACTATTTTATTCACTCCAAAGATTTGTAAAGAAAAATCCACTTTTATCTCATCATAATAAAGTCTAGGATAAAATGAAAGTTGTGGCTACAGTTGTTATCTAAGTATAAAATAATACTTCAGGCTTAACAGGAAAGTACAGTTTTTCATTACTTTAGAATTATAATGGCCAGGTAAGCTTAGAAAAGTAAGATTTCCTTTTGGTATCAGGGGACAGACAACTCATAGCTCATTGGCAAAATTGACAATACAATACTACCATCTATTAAAATAGAGTGATTGAAGAAATACTATCATATTGCATTTGTACATGGATATTTTAAAGTGTTTCAAGTTTTTTAAAATAAATATTAAAAAGAGTAGAAAATAATTTATAGTTGTATATTTACTGTTTTACAATGGTAATTTTTAAATATTGTTTCATATGTAATTACTGTATGTATGTAATATTAACAACACTTACAAAATCTTTCAGAATTTAAAAATAAAAGGTTCTTCAAAACCAACCAATGACTTCTCCCTTTCATGTAAGTAGTCATGTTTTTTTGGAGATAGTCACTTAGCATTTGAAAGTTTTAATTTGTCATTTATATTATTAATAGGAAACTAAGTGGATAAGCTTCTTCATCTAGATTAACACATTATTATGTCTTCTTCTTCTTCGTCAAATGTAATTGTTTCCTAATCAGGGGCAGGACATTATTTACCCGGGGGGGGGGGGGGGGGGGGGGATGACATTAAGGCAAAAAATTGCAAATTATCTAGAATAAAAATGCTTTTTTTTAGTTTAATTCCCTATATATATATATATATATATATATATATATATATATATATATATATATATATATATATATATATATATATATATATATATATATATATACATACATTTTTTTTTTTAATTTTTTAATTTTTTAATTTAATTAATTTATTTATCATATAATTATTTTCTTTATGGATGGGATGACACCATGATGTACAGCAGCAGGTAACACTTGACCTAGCAATGCCACTATTCCTAATAACTAATACCCTTGTTATATTTTAAAATGACCAATGCTTTGAGATAAAAAAAAATCTATTCACAAATCACCAGCTACCAGCCAAGATAGCACCGGGCTCAAGCAGTCTGAGGTAGGCTACTGTTGGCTGGCCCCAACATTTTCATTGCCTTAATATATCATTTAGTCATTTTAGGTTTAGGTGAACTTTGGATGGAGACAAAAGTTTATGACAAAAAATGCACTTCTAATGTTATAAATATCTGATCTATAGAGCAAAGAGGGAGTTTTAAATTCAACAGTTTTATATTAAAATACATTGCTCAAGTGATAAATAATAATTGCTTATAAATATAAGTTTTAAATTAACACTTATGTTTAGGAAGTTTAACAAACAAATATTCTATGAAAAGTTGAGAAAATTATCATCAGCTATTGAAAAAAATTCTCTTTATTTTCCAAGTTTCCTTAACACGTCCTATTGAATGTCACAGCATTTTATAAAATCTACAAACTGGTACTTTATGTAATATTACACACTGCACATTTGCTTCTGTGAAATTCATGAACAAAACTTGACAGGCTGACCCAGTGGAGGCAACTTATCCCGATGGTCATACTCCTAAGACTTCGTATAATCCTATGACGGCTGATAATATGCCACGGTAATTATCTAACTATTAATTAAAATTATTTTTTAACAAAAAGAAACAAAGAAAACTGTTTCACTTAGTTGTATGATATTCAATGTAATACATATAGGATGCCATGATTTAATTTTCAAACACCAAGTTAATTGATGGTACAAAAGTTCACTTGTGAAGAAACAAATAAATTAGTGTCTTAGAATGTAGTCGATTTCCTTTGTTTAAATAAAAGCTCAACAAAAGCCAAATCTTGACAAAAGTCCAATATTTTCTAGTGAGAGGTCCAATATTTTCAAGAAAAATATACTCTTATATTTGTTCCTAGTGATCGATATAAATTTATTTTATGACTGTCGTAAAATGATGTAATATAATTTATTTTTTCTTGTGCAGTGCACAAGCAGCTTCACAATCCCCAAAAGATGGTCCAACACAGGTGATTATTTTTAGATCCATCAACATTCTGCTACAACTTGATGAAATAAGCTTCTGTAGACAAATTTAGGCAGTAGGCCTTTAGTACCATAGTTTTATTTTAAATACAATTTTTTTAAAAATATTGACCCTTAACAGTTAATGTTTTGTTTCATTATAATAAATTAAGTCATTTTTTTAATAACTGTAGAAAAGACACAATGTCACATCCAATAAACCAGACAGAGACTTCACTGAGCAGGAGGTTCAAGTTTTAGCTGGCTTTAAAGGCTGGGATCCCGATATAACGGAAACACAAGTACGTCTTCTTTTACACCTGTGATAATTCATTTCTTGATTTCTAGTTGGCAGCTGTCAAGTGTGGAATCTATTTCATCGTCTAAACCCCACTGAATCATTATTTTTGTCAAACTTTCGTTAAACCTTTTCAGTAATTAATAAAACAGGGACAGCATGGTCAGGTGGTTGAGCACTCAACTACTAGCTCAAAGATCATGAGTTCAGATCTTGGTCCAGACAGAGCACTCAACTACTAGCTCAAAGATCATGAGTTCAGATCTCAGTCCAGACAGAGCACTCAACTACTAGCTCAAAGATCATGAGTTCAGATCTCAGTCCAGACAGAGCACTCAACTACTAGCTCAAAGATCATGAGTTCAGATCTTGGTCCAGACAGAGCACTCAACTACTAGCTCAAAGATCATAAGTTCAGATCTTGGTCCAGACAGAGCACTCAACTACTAGCTCAAAGATCATGAGTTCAGATCTCAGTCCAGACAGAGCACTCAACTACTAGCTCAAAGATCATGAGTTCAGATCTTGGTCCAGACAGAGCACTCAACTACTAGCTCAAAGATCATGAGTTCAGATCTCAGTCCAGACAGAGCACTCAACTACTAGCTCAAAGATCATGAGTTCAGATCTCAGTCCAGACAGAGCACTCAACTACTAGCTCAAAGATCATGAGTTCAGATCTTGGTCCAGACAGAGCACTCAACTACTAGCTCAAAGATCATGAGTTCAGATCTTGGTCCAGACAGAGCACTCAACTACTAGCTCAAAGATCATGAGTTCAGATCTCAACTTGAGACAGCAGGAGCTCCATTAGTCCACCCAACTCTGATGGGTACCTGACTCACGTTAGGGAAAGTGAAGGGGACTGGACATAGTGCTGACCACATTATCCCTTCATATGTGAGGTGAAGAAATCCATCTTCATCTGCCCTAGGGATCACTAGTGATATTTTTAACCTGTGTTTTGATAAAATCTTTCAACATGTATGCTAAACTTTAATAAACATTTGCAACACTTATGCTAAACTTTATTTTAAAAATGAAAAACATGATAGTTTTGTATCTATTGATTTTAAAACATGACAACACACTTGTAGTGACCTTCACCCCAATGTAATAGAATTAATTATATTGATGTAGCCTGCCTATCTGGTCAGGAAAGTGTTACCTGTGATTTAAATATAGGCCTACAACCTTAGTGTACCTTGACCACACCTGTGTTACCTGTGGTTTAAATATAGGCCTACAACCTTAGTGTACCTTGACCACACCTGTGGTTTAAATATAGGCCTACAACCTTAGTGTACCTTGACCACACCTGTGGTTTAAATATAGGCCTACAACCTTAGTGTACCTTGACCACACCTGTGGTTTAAATATAGGCCTACAACCTTAGTGTACCTTGACCACACCTGTGTTACCTGTGATTTAAATATAGGCCTACAACCTTAGTGTACCTTGACCACACCTGTGGTTTAAATATAGGCCTACAACCTTAGTGTACCTTGACCACACCTGTGTTACCTGTGATTTAAATATAGGCCTACAACCTTAGTGTACCTTGACCACACCTGTGGTTTAAATATAGGCCTACAACCTTAGTGTACCTTGACCACACCTGTGTTACCTGTGGTTTAAATATAGGCCTACAACCTTAGTGTACCTAGACCACACCTGTGGTTTAAATATAGGCCTACAACCTTACTTGACCACACCTGTGTTACCTGTGGTTTAAATATAGGCCTACAACCTTAGTGTACCTTGACCACACCTGTGGTTTAAATATAGGCCTACAACCTTAGTGTACCTTGACCACACCTGTGTTACCTGTGATTTAAATATAGGCCTACAACCTTAGTGTACCTTGACCACACCTGTGGTTTAAATATAGGCCTACAACCTTAGTGTACCTTGACCACACCTGTGTTACCTGTGGTTTAAATATAGGCCTACAACCTTAGTGTACCTAGACCACACCTGTGGTTTAAATATAGGCCTACAACCTTACTTGACCACACCTGTGTTACCTGTGGTTTAAATATAGGCCTACAACCTTAGTGTACCTTGACCACACCTGTGGTTTAAATATAGGCCTACAACCCTAGTGTACCTTGACCACACCTGTGGTTTAAATATAGGCCTACAACCTTAGTGTACCTTGACCACACCTGTGGTTTAAATATAGGCCCACAACCTTAGTGTACCTTGACCACACCTGCATCGTCTGGTTTGTTTTCAGGTGGTCCAGAAGTTGACCCCATGTTTGATGTATGACGGACATTTTATCCTGTGGTACTGGAAGACCAAGAAACGTCCAGCTATTTCTGTTATGTCAGTAGCTATTTTATCATACACTCTAGGCCTACTCTTATGTTAGTAGCTATTTTATCATACACTCTAGGCCTACTCTTATGTTAGTAGCTCTTTTATAAAACACAGTCGGCCTATTCTAATGTTAGTAGCTATATTATCATACACTCTAGGCCTACTCTTATGTAAGTAGCTATTTTATTATTCACTACTGTTATATTATTGTTTTTTATAAAGATAAATATAATTTTATAATAATTCTATTGATTATTTAAAATTAAAAATAGGCATAATAAAGCCATTAAGATGTGTTGATATGTTAATGTGTTGATATGTTCATGTGTTGATGTGCTGATATTTTGATGTGTTGATATGTTGATATGTTAATGTGTTGATATGTTCATGTGTTGATATGTTCATGTGTTGATATGTTGATGTGCTGATATGCTGATATGTTGATATGTTCATGTGCTGGTGTGTTGATGTGCTGATATGTTCATGTGCTGATATGTTCATGTGCTGATATGTTGATGTGTTGATATGTTCATGTGTTCATGTGCTGATGTGTTGGTATGTTGATGTGTTTATGTGCTGATGTGCTGTTGTGTTCATGTGTTGATGTGTTGGTGTGTTGATATGTTAATGTGTTGATATGTTGATGTGTTAATATGTTAATGTGTTGATATATTGATGTGCTGATATGTTGATGTACTGATTATTCCAGAGATAAGAAGCAGATCAAGACTCTGTTGGTGCACAAGAAGCCTGACCCCCAGGACCAATCCAAGGTCTCGTACTACATCAATAAAAATGGCACCTACAAGACCAACTTGAAGGAAATCCTGGATCACCACTTTAATGAGGGTGTAGAAGACATGGGTGGGGATTCTAATGGTGGGAAAATTACATTCATTCAACCAGCAAACTGATTAATTTAAATTTAAAGATTTATTTATGTGGATAATGGTTTCACTTATCCGTGTAAATAATTAATACATTTACTTAGAAATAACCTACTTTAAAACAAAAGGTATATTAATTTTCTATTGAAATTTTTTTGTTTTTATACTATCTGGTAACTCATTTGTTTAAAATGTAAAATTGAGTTTTCAACCAACTTGTTGTTTAGTTGAGCTACAGTTGTATGGTGGCCAGAAGTGTTAGATGTTGTTTGCTTACAGATGGGAGGTTGGGATGGTTTGGTTCAAAACTTGTCCTGGTGTGTGTCTGTGTGGGATTGTTGAGTCAAGTAGAAATGTCAGCACAACTTGACGTGAAATCAGCTGCCAAACTTTACAGGCATATCAGTAGTCTAGGGTATCTCTAATCACCGGTGAAACAAATTTGTATTTATTACATTTTTAAAAATCTTAAATACCATAGATAATGTAATTGACAAACAGGTCATCACAAATTACCAACTGGTCATTCACAGTTTGACCAACAGATCACCTGAGTTTCTAAACATATTTCACCTGTATGATTCAGGCAGCTTCTAAAATTGATTATGTGAACAAACATAATGGTTTTCTGATTTTATTAGTTTTATAATGAGATAGGCCTATATATGTCATAGTGAAATATTTTTTTAATTTAAATGTAACAATAGAATAATTGTTAACTTTTCAAACACATTTTTAAAACCTATTTTGATGCATACATAATCATATATGATTGTATGTATTGAATATAATTTTTTTTAAAAATCAAATAAGATAACATTTTTGAATGTAAATTATCTCAGAGTAAAATAAACATCCATTAAATCTGATCTGATGTTGATGTGTTTCTATTCTCATGTTGCTGACACACTGCTCATATGTGTATAACTATACAAACAATTATTTTTTACGATTTTTTTTATTTGTGTACAGCAACTATCCAAACAATTATTTTTTAAGTTTAAAAAAAAAATTGAATCACATTATTAATTACACTAAGATTGAGAACATTTCCAAGAGGACTATTCATGTAGAAGTTGCTAAAAATTTCGACGGTTCTCTCCCTTTGCGTAAGGACCGTGAATGCTTTTAAAATGTATTTTCATTTCTTGTTTCCAATTTAAATGTGAATTAGAATCTATATTACTAGGATCATCTTTTAAAAAATTGAGAAAATATGTGATTTATGTTTTTGTTTTTTTGGTAAGCATGTTTTTAGCTAGAATTTTCTTGATAATTAATTGGTATAAGTATAATACTTGATACAAGATGGAAAGTGTAGATAACATTATTTATAGTATTTAAATTATTTTAAGACTAGATAGATAGATAGACAGACAGACGGACCAACAGACAGACAGACAGATAGATAGATAGAATTGTACCCAAGTTCTGACTACGCCATTGCAGCCTTTTGTTTACTTCTAGCTTCTTCAATGAAAATATGTTTAAGCCTACAGTCCCTAAGTAGACCGCCAACCCTAGAAAAATACTCACATACTAACTGACTAATTTCACAGAATAAAACTGTTCACTCGCAACATTAAGTTTTAGTTTAGCTGCTTTGTAAAACACCTTTCAGATTTCTGTAATCTTGTTTCGGTGGTCCATATATCATTAGTGGTCTCCAGTTCCCCCCCCCCCCCCCCCCCGAAAACGTCTACAGATTCCCCCTCCCCCCAAAACGAAATAAAATTTATATAGAAAATACATTTTTTCCATTCCCCCTCCTCCCCCCCCCCCCCGAAAATTTCAAGTGTCCCCCCCCCCTGGAGAAAAAAAGTCCGTAAGAAACACTGGTGGCCTCTCCCTCCCTCCCCTACTTTACCAGCATGGGCAGGTACCCACCTCATGCCTCGTGCCAGCGGACTTAACGAAAACAGCCTAGGCCAACTTATCCAGGTACGTCTATTTGGAGAGTAAAAATTCTTTTTGAGAACCATTTGAATTTTGTTATTTTATTTTAGAGCTGTAGTTAAAATCTACACGTGTGAATGTGTGTTATCAACGATCTGGTGTGTTTCCATATCCTGCTTGTCTCGCGATGCTGACCGAGATTGCCTCCCTTGTCTGATACAGACACGGCTTCGATACCCGCCCACTATCGCTCACGCACCGGTTTCACGCACCACGCGCTCCGCCATGACATCAACAGTTCACCCGAACGCCTCCCTACGGCTCATGTTTTGTTGCTAGAATTAAAACCCCAGTCTCAAACTCACATTTGATAATTTTTCTATCGACAACATGTGTCCTACACTTTTTTATTTAAAAGGTTTTAAAATAATCGCTGACTAAAAGCTAATAGTTATCCATTCATACTTTTTGTTTACAAATCTATGCTAATTAAGTAGAGATTTTATCGAGATAAGGAAGTTTCTCGGAGACTCAGCAGTTGCCCTAGAGGCACTAAGTTAACCAAAAATATTATGCTCCGAGCCAATTGGACTAGATTTATGGAAATGGAAGGAATAAGAAAAAAATTCAGCCGAGATATCCACCCATTTTTGTTGGCTTTAGTCTGAAGACAAATAAATCAAGGAGATTTCAAGGGGGATAAGCTCTAGATCTACATTTTTAGAGCGATTTCATAATATAGAGGTCATTTAGTGCTATTGAAATGTTTCATTATTAAAACATCATGTACAAAAAGTGATGTTTGGTCCACGGTGATGTTGAAACATGTTTAAAGTGATGTTTTGTCTACGGTGAGCTGAAGCCAATACCTTCAATAAGTCACATTGACATGTTATTTGAAGATATTGTGAAAACTGTGATATTCAAATATTCGGCTTCCACACGTTCACACAACCAAATGTGTCTCGCGTGATGAGCAGTACTCAGATAAATGTGATTATAACAAGCATGTGAAATGTGATCCTATATTTAGCCAAGAAGTAAACTACTAGTGCATGGAACAATTTACTACTGATAACTTTAGACATGGTAAGTTGTTTTATTTTATTTTTACTAGTCCCTGGTAAAGATGTGTTTCACTAAAGGTGATCTATAACACAGTGTATGAGACATAGTATTTTACATGGGACGTGTTAATTTACATTGGACGTGTTATTTTACATCGGGTGTGTTATTTTACATTGGACGTGTTATTTTACATTGGGCGTGTTATTTTACATTGGGCGTGTTATTTTACATGGGTCGTGTTATTTTACCAAAATATTTGACAACATATGGTTTTGTAAAAACAGATCTACTACAGCACTGATAGCTCCACAATAACCAGCTCACGGTACATCAGCAGTACTGTGAAAGATCGGCAAACTTTCAAACCACGTCCATGATTTGTTGCTCATCTGTTTATAATCTAATAGGGGTGCCCATAAAACTCATTTAAAATTGTTTTTTTTACTGATTAAAATAAGGCATACAAAAGAATGACTTAGCTATAAAAATGGAGTTTATTCAAAATTAATTATAAATTATATAAATGCAAAAAAAAAAAAACCTGTAGAAAAAACAAACACGGGAAACTATAACACATATCAAGCTTTCGTTTTTCATATTCTTTTGACCGCCTTACCTGATATGAAGTTACACTTTTCACAATTTTCGGCAGGCACAAACGAGATAAAGACGTTTTTTTAAACCTCGATAACTTAGTCCAGAACTGAGTTTCAGCACATTTCTGTTTTTGAATTTTCGTTTTTGCGGAGAATCTTTTATCTTTAGTTGCGCCACTGAATTCTACTTGGGCGGTGTTATCCCACCAGATGGGCGGTGTTATCCCACCAGATGGGCGGTGTTATCCCACCAGATGGGTGGTGTTATCCCACCAGATGGGCGGTGTTATCCCACCAGATGGGCGGTGTTATCCCACAAGGTGGGCGGTGTTATCCCACCAGATGGGCGTAGTGGGGTAGGGGTGTGTGAATGCTCACAATGAACATGTAGGCCTACAATAAAAAACCAATCTGGCAACTCTGTCCACAGTATGGCGTCATCCACTATGTTGTCAAGGACATGATCGTCTCACAGTTTGGCCAGGAAGCTTTGGACCAAATCCTGTAAGTTGTTTTATTTATTGGACCAAATCCTGTAATTTGTTTTATTTATTGGACCAAATCCTGTAAATTTTATTTATTGGACCAAACCCTGTAAGTTTTTTTTATTGGACCAAATCCTGTAAGTTGTTTTATTTATTGGACTAAAACCTGTAAATTTTATTTAATGGGCCAAATGTTGGACCTTATTCTGCCAGTAGTTGACCAAAGTTTGTAAATTCGTTTCACATTAGACCAAATTCTGTCAGCTATTGAAAAGTTGAGCCAAATTCTGTCAATTCTGTTTCAAGCGTTAAGCAACTCTACAATTCTTAAATGTACCTGTTATGGGTGGATGGGGGGGGGGGGGGGGGGGGGGGCGGTTCACAGTTATTTGATCTTCCACCCGTACCAGCCCCCCACCCCTCCCCTAAAATGAAGCTCACCACACCCAACATAAATCTTTTGCCACCCCCATCCCCCATCTCAATTACGACAGTTGTAGCCCACACCTACATGACCGACTGTCGGTGCAAAAAGACCAATCTCAGGTCAGCTAAAGTAGGCTAATGTTATCAGGGACACCTGTACTCGTTCGTCTGACCCTAACACCCACCCCACCCTCACATACACACACTATAAAACACTGAACAACTGACCCTATCTTAGATCCCCCACCCCACCACCCCACCCTCACATACACACACTATAAAACACTGAACAACTGACCCTAACTTAGATACCCCACCCCACCACCCCACCCTCACATACACACGCTTTAAAACATACACTATTACATCTATAAATAGAAACAGTTCTTCTAACGGAAATCTCGCGTGATGTAATTATCAGCTTCTTGACTTTATTATCTGCTTATCAAAGACCGGGGTAGCGAATTTCTCAACACGAGACCCTTACATCACAGACATTGATTTTATACTGCTACAGCTGTGCTTGGAATCAAGAGCCTTCATACACAAAGGGCAATCGGCCATAAACAATACCGATATTATTTTCATTCAAGAAATTCTACACTGTCGTCACAACCTACGAGAGATGAAACAAGACAGCTGATTGGTTCAACCTACATGGTGCCGTGTACCCGGATGTATCCGCTGGCCAAGTCTAGGGAGAAATGAACTGGATATCAATTATTACTGACATGAGAAGATGGCAGAAACAGTTTCTTTCAGGCATCTCTTGAGGGGAAAGGGGACTGCCACTCTGGAGGCACGTCTATCGTCCTCGCCCCCCCCCCCCTCCGAACGAAATATAATTTATTCAGAAAATAGACTTATCCCTGGAGAAAAATGTCGGAAAGAAACACTGGTAAAAAAACATTGAACAATGGACTGATGCGGCCATAGTGACCCAGTTAACTGTCACGTGATTTGCCATCTTGTACGTATGGAAGAGATGTATGAAAGAAACTCTGGTGTTGCTAGACCTATGGTGACGTGGGGCTAAAGGCTTACACAATTGTTTACATAACAGCTCACAAAACTGTTTACATAACTGCTTACATACCTGCTTACAGAGCTGCCAACAAACTTGCTTACAGTTTGTAGTCTACAAGGAACTCAATAAATTCAGCAAAAATGGAATCCACAAAATTAAAACAATCGGCCCACCACAATTTTTTAGTAGCTATTGTTCCATTCACATCCCCCCTCCCTCAGTGTACAGCCCACAACAATCTCCTACTCATCCCCCCCCCCCCCCCCCCTTCTCCTACGGTCACGAGTCGCGACCTAGATCTATATGGCGCTTTGAACCAATCGTTTCTTTCTGTGCCAAATTAGTAAATTACGGTCAAATTCTATAAATAGATCCGTCCAAAGACTAAGACAAGTGCATACATGTCTATGTTGATGCAGCAGGCTCGTTGGTCTAGGGGTATGATTCTCGCTTTGGGTGCGAGAGGTCCCGGGTTCAAATCCCGGACGAGCCCTAATTGTTTTCCAAAAATATTTTTGTAACCGAAGTGCCGCATAATTAAATTCAGCGTGACATTCGGAAACCAAGAAAATTAGTTGGCAAGTCATGTCAGAATCTTATCGCTTGTTTTTGTTAACGGATGAAGAAAAAAAAAAAAACTCGTCTCAGTTTACAGCAGATTTACACAGATATGACAGGGGTCAGGATACTCATATGAGGGCGGGGGGGGGGGGGGGGGTCAAGGTAATCATATGACAGGGGTCGGCAGCAAACAGTGACGTAGCGAGGTCGGGTGTCGCCCGGTGCGGCACTTAATGGTGCCACCCCCCAGAGGCGTAGCGACCCTTCCCGGGGACAAACTTTCAAATTTTCGATTTGCACCCCCCTCAAACTTTCGATTTGCACCCCCCCCCCCCCTCAAGCTTTCGATTTGCACCCCCCTCCTCAAGTTTTTCTCTATATATTTTGCTATTTTTTGCCTTGGTGTCACCTCCCTAAATGGTGTCACCCGGTGCGGTTCTCACCCCCCGCCCCCCTCCCCCCCCCCCCTCGCTACGCCTCTGGCAGCAAATCATTAGAAACTGAAAGTGATGTGTTTTTAAATCATCAATTTCGCAAAACTTGTGGCTACTGTCCTCTCACACACACACATGTGGCTACTGTCCTCTCACACACATCTGCTATTGTCCACACACCTTGCCACCAGGTGAGTGAATGACGTCACTAACAAAACAGTTATCACCCCTTGAGAAAACCGATCGATCCTCACTAAGACAAAATGGCGTTTGATTGAGAAAATCAAACGTACTGCCCATTGTTCTCGACCATTCGACTGGGAATATTGTGTGTGTGTGGGGGGGGGGGGGGTCGAGCTGCCGCGGGTGGTCTTGGTCATTTGAAAACGTCCCCCCACATGTCCCACATTCCAGGCATCACTTCTACCGCCCTCCCCCCCCCCCCTCCCGCGAACGAGATGGAATTTATATAGTAAACATATACTTTTACTAGTGTCCGTAGACCGCCCCCCCCCCCCCCCCCCCCGAAAATATCAACTGCACCCCCGAAGAAAAAAGTCTGTAAGAAACACCGGCCATCACGTACACAAATCTACTGAGATTAATCCGCCATCATGTACACACACCTATTGTCACCAATCCGCCATCATGTACACAAATTAATCCGCCATCATGTACACCATTTGGGATCTGACCCTCCCTTCATATCTCAGATTTACATTCAGCGCTAAGTATATGTCATTCATTACTTGAAATTTCTTTAGGCGTGAAATAATTATTTTGATGTTTAAAATGTTAACAGAAAACTCACGTGATCAAATTTTGTATTTTACAGCACGTGCGCTGGCCTTGACGAAAGCCGACATTTTAAAATGTTCTACCCATACGACGACAAGATCCTTGAGGCTCTGCTAGGGGCCACAAGTAAATGTTTAGGTGAGTTTCTTACAACTGGAACCTCGAGGTTCTGTTAGGGGCCACAAGTAAATGTTTAGGTGAGTTTCTTACAACTGGAACCTCGAGGCTCTGTTACGGACCACAAGTAAATGTTTAGGTGAGTTTCTTACAACTGGAACCTCGAGGTTCTTTTAGGCGAGTTTCTTATGACGGCTGGATCATCACGGCTCTGTTAGGCTGCTTATTTGCCGAGGCAGTGGCGTCACAAGGTCGGGTGTCACTCCACCACTCCCAAATAAGTTTTGCATTTTCGGTTTGGTGTCACTCCTTCCACCTACTACTTTATAATAAAACATTGTTTTGAAAATAAATTTTACGATTTGGTGCCGCCCCCTAAATCGTCTCACCCCCGCGCCCCACCTTGTAAGGCAGGTATTGCCAAAAACCTTTATGTCGTCAAATCAGAAACTAATACAATTTTAATACAGTATGAAACTGTGTAGTGCTACTAGTGCACCGTCTCCAATAATACCGGGTACCCGTTTCAGCTGAGTGAACTCAACTATCAGTCATACAATATTAATACTTTCTTTATTATCGTCAAACATGACAGCAGACAAAAAAGAGATGGCTAGAAAAAATATTCCTGTTCTAAAATTAGGTTTCGCTAGCCCTTGACGAGTATGGCTTCATAAGGCATGCGCCCAACGTACTCTGGCGGCTCTGGGCTAGAGTGCAGGTCTTTTATGCCAGACAAAATCTGATGAATGCGGAAATCGATGACCGAAAAGTGTGCGCTCATTAGCCACTGATAAAATAAAATTACAAAAAATGAACAAATTGTTTGCCACTGATAAAATAAAATTACAAAACATTAACAAACTGTTAGCCACTGATAAATAAAATTACAAAACATGAACAAAGTGTTAGCCACTGATAAAATACAATTACAAAACATGAACAAATTGTTAGCCACTGATAAAATACAATTACAAAACATGAACAAAGTGTTAGCCACGGATAAAATTACAATACATGAACAAACTAAACCAACATTTTGTGAGATCGCTAAAAACAGTCCAACGCGATAAAAAAAAAATTCATCATTGTTAAAACCAACTCACATGTACGTCCCATAACCCACCAGCTTCTGTGATAAAAACGACAGAGCAGTGTAGAATTTGCCAAAGGTATGTTAAATAAATCGGGAGTGATCTCCCCTAAACTTTCTCGAATATTCTTATATAAAATAACAGGGGATGGGAACTCGGTCTATAGACATGATTTTTAATCTATTTTAAATACTTAAACTTTTTAAAATAGAATAAAATCTCGTGGAAAAAGAATTGCACACCAAGTGAACGCCAAATAAAATGTGCATAATAGTAAGCAATATTATTAGTACTTTATAAATTTACAGGTGTTTTTTGAGAAATCGGAAATAGCGTAAATTACTACTTCCGGTCGACGGAAATTACTCAAAATTTGACAGAATGTAGAGAATTAGATCTTTTACTTACACGTGAAATTTTATTTATCTATCTGAAATAGTACTCAAGTTATAGGCTTTTGAAAAATTCAAAGTAGAAAAAGTACCACTTCCAGTTATCGGAAATCGCACAAAAGTTAATACGGATCTACGATTTTGATAAAATACTTATATATGAAATTTGATCAACCTAGCTGTAACGGTACTCAAGTTATCCTGTTTACACACACAGGCACACGGACATAATTGGATAATCCAGTTTTTACAACTCCATTACGCATAAAACGCCAGAATTTTGATAAATATGGATTTATAATATTTGCCCGATTAAAATAAGTCCTCTATGTCCCGGATGTGATGAAGAACTGAGGAGTTAAACGGTAAAAATGTCAAAATTTCATGTGATTTGTGTGCACGATTACAACACTTTCTCTATACTCTGTATACAAGAAAGTAAGAATTATTTTAGTTAAACCGTAAGCTGCCTCTCTGTGTGTTTCAGGTTTGTCTGTGGAGATGGTTCTAGAAGTGTTCGGGGATTACTTCATCACGTTCAGCTTACGTCACGGATATGACGACATGCTGAGAACCCTGGGTGGGGACATGAGGAGCTTCATACAAAACCTGGACTCGCTGCACTCACTGTTGGCCCTCAGCTACGACAAGATGGTGGCCCCGTCATTCAGGTTGGTGGCCCTGTGCTTAGGGTGGGTGGCCCCGTCCTTCAGGTGGGCGGCCCCGTCCTTCAGGTGGGTGGCCCCGTCCTTCAGGTGGGTGGGTGGCCCCGTCCTTCAGGTGGGTGGGTGGCCCCGTCCTTCAGGTGGGTGGGTGGCCCCGTCCTTCAGGTGGGTGGGTGGCCCCGTCCTTCGGGTGGATGGCCCCGTCCTACGGGTGGGTGGCTCCGACCTTCGGGTGGGTGGCCCCGTCCTTCAGGTGGGTGGCCCCGTCCATCAGGTGGGTGGCCCCGTCCTTCAGGTGTGTGGCCCCGACTTTTAGGTGGGCGGTCGTGCTCTCTGGGTTTTGCTGCGTTAAGGTTTCTCATGTCAATGTTTTCTAAGGGTGTCCAGTCCTAACCCCGCTGGACGGTGTGCTGGCAAACTCACCTGACCATGTTTAGTGAATGACTCAAAATTCCCATCGTATGCATAGTCTATCACACTGTTCAAAACAAAAATAGACGAATTAGCGCTCACGGTTTAACCCCGGGCGACAAACTGCACCCTGCAGAGACGCCGGAGGACGCACCTGATTCGACTATAGCAACCCATTGTGTCCATAGCCTATCGCGCTGTTTAAAATGAACGTCAGCACCATAATGCTCACGGGTAAGCCCGGGGCGCCAAATTGCCCCTTGCCGGGACGCCGGAGAACGCGCCTGATTAGATCAAGTCAACGGTTATTGTTGCTCATCGTGTCTTTAGTGTAAAGCCTTTTTAAATTTAAAAAAAAAAACGTAGGTGCCATAGTGCTCACAGGGGAGCCCGGGGGGCAGAGAGACACACACACATTGCTTTTTATATATAAAGATTGATATTTTAATTAATGAAAACTTTAAACAGGTAGATTGTGAGTGATGCCTTGCAAATACTCTAATTTGGTGCGCAGATTTAAACTTTGAAGAACAGTTGAAATTTAAGGGCTGCTATCAATATTTTATTGTTTGTGTATGAGAAAACGTCATCTCTTTCTCTCTATCACGCTCTCTGTGTGTGTGTGAGTGTATACATGAGGTATATGTGCGTTCCTATGTGTGTGGGGAGGGGGATCAGGTGGATGCAGCTTCTCTAACCGGTCGCATATTGCATACACTTTCCTATATAATTTCACGACAGAACCGTTTACGCGAAATCGATCTTTAATAAAAACAACATTCTTACCCAGTCGATTTTGCTGTATTGCAGTTCTGGAGGGGTGGGGTGGGGAGGCATACTGCCGGGGTAGTTAAACCGGTTAGCTAGATCCAGACCAGTGTAGTTAAACCTGTGTAGTTAAACCTGTGTAGTTAAACCGGTGTAGTTAAACCAGTGTAGTTGAACTGGTGTAGTTAAACCTGTGTAGTTAAACTGGTTAGTTAGAACCAGACCGGTGTAGTCAAACCGGTTAGCTAGAACCAGACATGTGTAGTTAAACCGGTTAGCTAGAACCAGACAGGTGTAGTTAAACTGGTTAGCTAGAACCAGACAGGTGTAGTTAAACTGGTTAGCTAGAACCAGACTGGTGTAGTTAAACCGGTTAGCTAGAACCAGACCGGTGTGGTTAAACCGGTTAGCTAGAACCAGACCAGTGTAGTTAAACCGGTTAGATAGAACCATACTGGTGTAGTTAAACTGGTTAGCTAGAACCAGATTTGTGTAGTTAAACCGGTTAGTTAGAACCAGACCGGTGTGGTTAAACCGGTGTAGTTAAACCGGTTAGCTAGAAGCAGACCGGTGTAGTTAAACCAGTTAGCTAGAACCAGACCAGTGTAGTTAAACCGGTTAGATAGAACCATACTGGTGTAGTTAAACTGGTTAGCTAGAACCAGACTTGTGTAGTTAAACCGGTTAGTTAGAACCAGACTGGTGTGGTTAAACCGGTGTAGTTAAACCGGTTAGCTAGAAACAGACAGGTGTAGTTAAACCGGTTAGCTAGAACCAGACCGGTGTAGTTAAACCGGTTAGCTAGAACCAGACCGGTGTAGTTAAACCGGTTAGATAGAACCAGACCGGTGTAGTTAAACCGGTTAGCTAGAAGCAGACCGGTGTAGTTAAACCGGTTAGCTAGAACCAGACAGGTGTAGTTAAACCGGTTAGCTAGAACCAGACCGGTGTAGTTAAACCGGTTAGCTAGAACCAGACCGGTGTAGTTAAACCGGTTAGCTAGAACCAGACCGGTGTAGTTAAACTGGTTAGCTAGAACCAGACCGGTGTAGTTAAACCGGTTAGCTAGAACCAGACTGGTGTAGTTAAACCGGTTAGCTAGAACCAGACCTGTGTAGTTAAACTGGTTAGATAGAACCAGACCAGTGTAGTCAAACCGGTTAAATAGAACCAGACTGGTGTAGTTAAACCGGTTAGCTAGAACCAGACCGGTGTAGTTAAACTGGTTAGTTAGAACCAGACCGGTGTGGTTAAACCGGTGTAGTTAAACCGGTTAGCTAGAACCAGACTGGTGTAGTTAAACCGGTTAGCTAGAACCAGACTGGTGTAGTTAAACCGGTTAGCTAGAACCAGACTGGTGTAGTTAAACCGGTTAGCTAGAACCAGACCGGTGTAGTTAAACCGGTTAGCTATAACCAGACCACAGCACGAGACCTGGCTCTCGTCACTGACATTGTGGCTTCGGTTTCTTCAAGTTCCCCCCCCCCCTCCCCTCCCCCACTCACTCCCCCACTCCCCCCCCCCACACACACACACACACACATACAAACACATATACACTCTCACTTTGATGAAATCCATCTGATCTCACTTTATCAAACGATTCTTGTTAATTCATTAAACCCGGAGGGGAAAGGGGGGGGGGAAGTTAGAGGAGGGGGCACAAGGTAGAACACAACAACGGGGGGGGGGGGGGGCAGAGCTCGGGGCCGCCCATGAGATAACTCCTAACATGGGTGGATAACCCAGTTCTGCCCTACCCCATGTGGGGCGGTTATGAAAAGGGGCGTTGTATGTCCACAATGTAGACAAGGGGAGGCAAACATGTAAACAAGGAAGGTAACTAATAGGACAACATTAGTGAGTAGTGGAGAAACTCACGCGTGATTGTGTTGTGTCATCAAACTTGTGTGAACATGAGGTCATTGAACATGAGGTCATCAAACTTGTGTGAACATGAGGTCATCAAACTTGTGTGAACATGAGGTCATCAAACTTGTGTGAACATGAGGTCATCAAACTTGTGTGAACATGAGGTCATCAAACTTGTGTGAACATGAGGTCATCAAACTTGTGTGAACATGAGGTCATCAAACTTGTGTGAACATGGGGTCATCAAACTTGTGTGAACATAAGGTCATCAAACTTGTGTGAACATAAGGTCTTCAAACTTGTGTGAACATGAGGTCATCAAACTTGTGTGAACATGAGGTCATCAAACTTGTGTGAACATGAGGTCATCAAACTTGTGTGAACATGAGGTCATCAAACTTGTGTGAACATGAGGTCATCAAACTTGTGTGAACATGAGGTCATCAAACTTGTGTGAACATGAGGTCATCAAACCTAAGGTTAGGGCTAATGTTAGTGTGTCTTTCACTGGCAAATGGACTTGTATACAAATTCGGACTTCTTTTGTGTTTAGCTTCAAGCTAAAAAACTGGCCAGTCACGTGTCCTGGGTGGCTGCTGGGAGATGAGCACTCCCTCAGATGATGACGTACTTCCGGTTACCTAAAGAGTTTTCTAATAGTCAATTTATCAGTGTCACTTTCCTCTCACGCGAGCATACAAAGCTAGTCAGACATCAGGTGACCGTAGAGCTACGACTAGCTACACTGGTGCTAGACAGAAATCAGATGACCATACATGTTGATTTCAGAAGAAAAAAAAACATGGCCGATAAAAAAACACTTTTTCTACAGTTTCTATCTCCCAACACATCTAAAGCCATCAGTACCGTGGATTTGACCGAGTTCATTATTGTAAAAATGCCTCTAGCGTTTGAGTTCTGGTTTCAAGAATTCCTTCCCCAGGACTGGCGAGGCGGGATAACAAGAGAATTTTTAAACCAATTAGTTAATTACACCTTAATTGTTCCCTGAATAAATCCCTTTTCTATGCAGGTTATTTTAAGCAGGATTGAAAAAAAAATCTTCACCGAAATTATGACGTGTAATTTTGTGTGGCCTTTCAAAGATTTCACAGAAGTTTGTTTAGGTTCGTGCAATAGATCATGTATGTTATGTGTTTTATGTCTGTCATGTGTTGTATGTCTTTCATTTGTTGCTGTATGTCTGTCATGTGTTGCTGTATGTCCGTCATGTGTTGTATGTCTGTCATGTGTTGCTGTATGTCTGTCATGTGTTGCTGCATGTCTGTCATATGTTGCTGCGTGTCTGTCATGTGTTGCTGTATGTCTGTCATGTGTTGCTGTATGTCCGTCATGTGTTGCTGTATGTCTGTCATGTGTTGTATGTCTGTCATGTGTTGTATGTCTGTCACGTGTTGCTTTAAATTAAAGCATTCCAATGTTATTTGTAACGGCTATGTAAAGACGATTATAAATATCAGAGAATGTGATGTTTCATCTTGTAACTGTCTCACCCCCCCCCCACCCCCACCCGACAGGTCTCTCCCCCCCCCCCCACCTCTCGCCCAAGGACAACATATAACCTGATTGATGACCAGTTAGATCGATAACTTCCCATAGATCTGTGCACCTGATTAAGATCTTCATCTCCTTTATTTGGCCCCTCTATCAAACGTAGGGAACCCTGTAATTTTAAAATTATGATAAAAAGTTTAGCATGGCTAAAGATAGATAGACCCGCATTTAATCTAATGATAAAAACCTCTTTAATTCAAGGCCAACATTACATCTTGTTTAAACAGCTTTCAATAAAACTGTGTGTGACATGCACGTAGGATGTAGTTACAGCATAAGTGCCTGTCAGCAGAAAATTTGTATTTTATAAAGGAAACAATGATAATATTTTTAAAAACTAATTTAGTCACATTTGTGCATTGTCATCGAGTCCTGACCTA